TATATTATAAAAAAATAGCAACAAGATTGCAAATGTCTGTATATTTTTTGAGGTTTTTTCTTTTTTTTTTGTTGGAAAAGATCCAATAATAAGGACCCAGGCAGACAGCTGACATGTCAGTCACCAAAAAGCTAATATTAGTCTTCCTTTAACATTCTAGTTTCCTAAATTGCTTGCAACTATTTTTTCTACTAAATTGAATGAGAATGTATCAGATATTAGACACAATGGCTGTATACAATGATCATCTGTAAGTAAAGAAGTAAAATGTGGTGGGCTGTTGCCATTCATATTAACTCATTAAAACAAAGCATGTACTGATTTATATTATTCATAATATTTAACCAGGGTGGCCCATTCAGTCAAGAAGACTGGTCTACTTTGGGGCATTTCAATTTACTATTATTTTTTTTTTTTTTTGGAAGAGAATGTCTTTGATGTTAGATAAGGAGGCAGTTGGTTGATAAGGATGTATTAAGACCAAAGAGAGTATTTATCTAAATTGTATATTTATTTTTAAAAAAATGTTATTATATTTTATTGATATCACATCTAATATTTCAAAAAGACCATTGATACTAAGTTAAAATTATTATGCTGTTTATAAGGCAATCTGGTGCTAATTTTCACCTTCATCTTTGAAAAGGATCTAACTGTAGCCTACTATAATACTCATTGCAATGTATTTAGATGTTAAAAACAACAGGTGAAGCAACATTGTTGAGTACCCAGTGGCGGACCTAGCAATTCCAAGTAGAGGGCCTAGTGAGGGACTTCTGCATATGAAGGGTCTATACTACCTCAGCCACACCATGGTTGGGACTGAAGTACAACATTTTATGGATCTGCCCCCTTCTCCCTTTCTCTCTCTTTTTTTTAATTCTCAATAATTTGTTGTGGTGGCTGCACCCCAACCTCTCCCCCAAGCACGTTGCTTAATCAAGGTTGCTTCAGGTTAGGAATTATGGGTTTTTCGTTTAAAAAAAAATGTTTTCATCCAGCTCTTGAATTCTAATAGCCTACAATTTTTTTTTTTACTTTATGTGGGTAAATGTTATAATTTTTATTTTCTGAAATTTAATCTAAATTATATTAACGCAATATGCTGTTGATAAACCATTCAGCCATTTTTGGTCACATGGATAACTGAACGCTGATTAACGCACACTGGTTTACGTTGAGTTTCGTTGTCAACGAAGTGTATTTTACGAACCAGTCGAATGAAAATAATACTCAACGAAAAATCGTTGTCAACGAAATGAACCTGTCGAATAAGCCCAATGATTGGCTTTTCCCCGACATGGGGTCCAGGGTACCCAGATGGACGTACTGCCACTGCAGGGGATATCCAAAACCTATTTGTACACTTGTGAAAAATGCTCTCCATAATTAATACGAATTAATACATTTTATCACTGATGATAACAAATATGGTAATTCAAATGATTTGTGTTGTTACAAATACACTACTGGGCCTCAAATTTGATAAAACAAAAAATATAAACTTTATAATCTGATTTAGTGCAGTTGAATTTAATTTGTTTTATAAGGAAATTAAACAATGCTAATGGTACTGCACATGTTATAGTTATTTTTATACTTGAAAAACTAGTTACAATATAGAAATTATTAGGTAAATAAGATAGATATCATAAAATGATAATCTAAAGCTATAATATGTAATTGTTTTATTGCGCTTCCAAATTTATCATATCTTTCAAATTTTTAGTAAAGAGTGTAAATAATAAGAATGTTCAAAATTCATAACTATTATGACATTTTAAGTATTCAATAAATACTTAATACCAAATAGATTTTTAGACTAATACAACGAATAGCTTAGGTTGACGAAACAGCATGGCAATTGCTGGAGACCATCTAGTGGTTAAATTACTACAGAATCTTATTATTTTTTTTTATCACACACTTACTATGTTTTAAAATCTTTCATCAAGGTCATATTGCCTCCATATCTTGAATATCATAGATTACTTTGAAGTGTATTACTAAATCCACTTCAAGATAAAAAGATGTATTCTGCTTTTGTTGGTTGGATTTCTTATGCTGTATTAGTCATGGTAACAAAGGTTTTGACTCACTACAGCAAAAAATTAATAATTATTATCTGAGTAGAGGGTTTCAGTGGTGGGTAATTTTTAAATCTCCACAGACACTGTAGGCAAATGCCATACACTGTTTATAACATTCTTTATCATATTTCATGGTTACTAGGGCCATCCAACAAGACTAACAAAAGTAGTTGTGCGAGTCAAGTAAGGTTATATCAAACCTACTACAATTCATATTTCAAGAGGTGATTATGGCGATCTCTGTTCTCTGATCTTCTTCCTATTTTTGGTTATAAGGGATTTGACTGAGATTAACACACTGTAGATGGTTTTTTTGGGGATGTTTCTATTCTATGCACAATCACCATCCTATTTTTAAAAAATGACAATTTTAAAAATAACAGATTTCTTTACCTTATATTTGTACATAAAAAACATGTCTGTTATGTGATTGCAAACAGGGTATATACTAGTAGATTGTAAAATATAGCTAGTAAACAAATGTAGTTATAATTGTGAAATGTATTTATTTAAGATATTATGTACATAGCCATTCTGATCCTGATGACTGAAAAGCACAGAGCCATTCTTCGTTAATAAAAATATATTATTATATAACACATATTTTGCTTTGTTAGGTAAATAACCTTTTACTGCAAAACTTTTTAAAACTGAAATTTAACTACTGAACTGGTTGCAAATGTTTTGAAATAAAATTATGAATTGTATTATAAGCAGCTGTAATTAATGAACTTTATAAAATGATACTGATATGGTCCAAGACGATATAGATTAAACCTTGATTTGTATTAAAATGATATGGAAGATATATTTTGGTATTTTGTTGTAGAGTTGAATTTATAGTTGTAGTACAAATGACATTCGACATCTGTTCAAAATAATCAGACCATATATTCTTATTATAATAAAAAAAAAGTATAAAGCTGACATTTTGCTGTGTGTGATTTGCTTTACAGTAGTCTAACAATTAAAAAAAATGCATTATCTTGAATTGTTGTTATCTAGTACAGTTATACTTAGTAAAAAAATAATAGTATAAAAATACATAAACAAATTTGTGTACCTGGTTCATGGTAAGGAAAGCATGTCATTAAAGATTGTATTTCAATTCCTATAAACGGAATGATATTTTGCATAACATGATGTGTTGACATACTGTATGTATGTATACATGGTACATCCCCAAATACTTGTAAAAAATTTATTAACAAGTTATTTGAGTAGGAATCGAAACCTACGACATCCAATTAATTAGCCTGGTATAATAACAACTAGACCATGAGCTTGTGCTTAGTGAAAAGGTTGACTTCGACCCCCAATTTGCAGTGGGTACTGCAGTGCAACACTAATTCAAAATTTTAAAATGGCTCACTAAAAAGCAATAAAGAAAATAATATTCACAGTTCTAATGAGATTCAAACAATAAGTCATTTATAGACTTTTTACTATTACACAATTTAAAATAACCACTCAATACTGCAGCTCTTGCAATAGATTAAATTATTTATAAAATATGATGTCACAAAGAGGTGGCCAACTGGATTATGCTTACCGGTATGCACTGAACAGGTTCGAAACTGGTGTATATTAACTCATCAGTTTAGCAGGGAATGTAAACTAACATTAATACATTATGAATAATTCAAAGCTACATCATAATAAGGTTAATTGGTTTTGTTTTTGGGCTAGTCTTACTGCGAGAGCCACCAAAACCTTCGCCGAGTGAGAGATTGTTGTTGATAAAGAGGTACACAGTCAGCTTGAAATACTGACACCAAATTTTCTGTATGAAATGCTATTCAATGTACATTTCTATGTAAAAAAAATTATGTTTGAAATATTAAAACTTTTAGAAAAACTGAATGTTACTTAAATACGGATTACGACTTTACGATGACCAGTCCAGAAAATTGTTTTTGTATGACAATCTAACATTCACACTGTTTTAAAGCAATGATGCTATGCTCAATGTACATTTCTATGTCTAAAAAAGTTTATGCTTAACAGCCTTTTCACAATTTGTTTGCATGTTAAATTGCAATTTCATGTCATTGGATGTATATAAATACCTAGGAATTTGAATTCCTAAACAAAGTCAACTGGGACATCATTAATAAATATGGTACTTTGGATTTATAGCTTTCCGGAAAATCTACAACCACTTGCCTGCTTTTACATACATTCAAGTAAAGATTGTTACTGCTGCACCAGTCCACAATTTCGTTAACTTGGTTACCGTATTAAGTTTGACCCATCATTTTGAATAAGTCTACAGTGGTGGTGCCATCTGCGAACTTGGCTATGTGGCAGTTTTGAAACAATGTTACACAATCATATGTAAACAAAGTGAATAGAAAGGGTGCAAAGATGCACCCTTGAGGTAAACCAGTATGTATTACTTGTTTATCACAGATGAGGGTACCCACTCTTGTAAACCGTTAAGAAATTACGAACCCAGTTACAAATAGAAACATCAAAACCTATCATTCCTGCATACAACTTGTGCGGTGTAATCGTAATAATGTAAATGCTGAGGTAAAATCTATATAAAATTCTTGCATATCATTTATCACAATCCAGAAGCTCTAAGACCTTAAATAGAGTAATTGATATGGCATCATCAATGATTTGGCCTATAAGCAAACTAAAATGGGTCCAAATTTACCAGACACTCAAACTTGTACGTTAGAACAACACGTTCAAAACATTTCATAACAGAGGTTAATGCTTTCAGTAACTAATCCTAATAAGAGTTACTAATTGGGGAACGTTTTGGTATTGGAATTATTACTGAATCATTAAAACAACGCAGAATAATTCTGGGATATGAGGAAACAATAAGATGTGAGAGATCTGATGGCAACAGTGTATAATCAGAGATGGATTAATACCCTCTAATCCTGAAGATTTTGTTGACTTGCATCTTCAGATTTCTTCAGGAATAAGTAAACAACTATCATTATCATATTATATTATTTGTCATAGGCGGTAGAGTCAACAAATTCAACTTCATTAGGAAAAAGAGTGTCAAAACAGCTGAAAAAAATCATTCAATTGCTGGGATAGATTATTATCTTTTGAGTAACATTAGACAAGTCTGTTTTAATGCTTTCTTTATCTCGTACAGTAGAACCCCTCATTTACGTACGGGACGGGCCCAAAGGTGTTCGTAAAAATCAATGTGAATCAGTGTGAAATTCCTATGTATTTACACTACCGATATGCTAGGCTGGGCTAGGCTAGGCTAGGCCTGGACTTAAATTTTGTTGGACTGGAGCCAAAACTCCAACTTGCACTCGAAAGAAATTCAAAATAACGATCATAATAATGTACAGTACTATACATACTTGTTAATGTGTATAGAAACTTTATTCTCTCTTTCTCAGGCAATAATATATGACTTACTGTATCTTCTAGCTTACGAAGAAACACAGCCTAGTGGGCGCCACAACAGGGCGAGTTACCAACGTTTTTCACTCGATCCATGTGGTTGTGGCGTCATGTAAATACCCTGTACAGAATAACCCGGAAACCAGGGGTTCTCAACTTTTTAAAAGAAGAGCGCTGATTGGCTGTAGACACGGCGCTTTGACTTTTTTTTGTATGCAATACGATTGTTCTACACCTGCATTTATTAAATGAATAATAAAGTTATAAAAAGAAAATGTGGGTGTCAGTGTCTTATTTTATGGGGGAAATAATGAAATGGTAGATTAACGTTAGTTAGATTTGATAAATAAATTCCATTCATAATTAGGGGGTTCATTAAATTACAATATGAGGGTGGTGTATTCAGAGATGAATAAATCATGCGCCTATCGATATGCTGACAAGTTACGCATTGGGTAGAGTTTTCTCACGGCTGCAGACATAAAGTATGATCGCCGTGTTGAATGTCGGTGTATTCAAAGCACACTATCTGTAGTAGAGATCGCTGATAGTGTACAGCAAACCGTCTAAGACAGAGTGAATAAACTCTAGCCCGCGCCTAACGATTAATTCTTGACACGGGTGTGTGTTTTGTTCATGAAATAGGAACTTTATTTATGACAACAATTACATGATTTTACGTTCGTAAAATCGGGGTTCGTAAATGAGGGGTTCTACTGTATTCTGCTTTTATGAACATTGCTTTATCATTTGATAAAGCCATAGATCTCTATTCCATATCAAAATCTTAACAGATTATCCTGGTGTCATGTAAATTATGGTCAGACTAGCCGAGCGAAGATTGCTTGAGTGACCTAACTATAGGCCCTTATATGCCTTAACGATTCAGGATGTCATTGTTATTGTTTGTTATGTCGCTACAATTTGGAAGCATTTTCTTATGTCGCTGCAATTTGAGAGCATTTTCTTACTTAACTAACATTATCGAAGTAGCAGTTGAAAGCCTTAATTCCTGGTCAATTACTCTGGACTACCCTGGGCCCCCTGGCACAGGGGTCTAGCCTAGGGTAGGCTTGTGTATAGAAAGCAGGCCTAGGGCCTAGTCTAGCCCTCCCTACCTAGGCCCTGGCTTAGGGCCTAGTTCAGCCTAGGCCATGCAGTAGGCCTAGGCCTAGGCAGGGTTAGTAGTACCTGTACGATCAATTACATCCAATTAGAATTTGGAATTTGTTTAAGACAATAGCCATTGCCATTTAAAATATCCTGTTTAGGCACTGTTGCTACTTAAGGTATGAAAGTTCAAGGAAATTACCTAAATCTTGTAAATAAACATACTGCATCTGACGTACATTTTCAAACACAAACAAGTTGAGAGGGCAAGACGTATTTTACGTCATGTCTCGACCTCCTCTCTCTCCAGATAAAAGTTTCAAAGAAGTAGTCCATTAGTTAAATGGTGAATTTTTATAAATATTATCGTTAGAATATAATTATTCAGTTTTGAACTAATTATAAATATTTAATTTTGAAATTAAGTATTCAAATAACTTTAAAACTTTAAAGCAACAAGATTTCTACACATAATTAGTAGGAATATATATATGATAATACTGTCAATAATCCCTTTTATAAAAATGGATTATCCATATTAACCTTGAGGTCATTCTATGTCAACAAGCAAGCACGCACGTTTCATCTCTCATCAACAAAACAAACCGGGATCTGAAACAAATTTCTGGAGAAACAAATATTTTAAGGAATCATGTAAGGCTGATTAGATTACATACTGTACTTTAGAGCATTTTTTATTAATATTATATATAGTACATGTGTTGAGTGAGTTTGATGAGGATAAATATTTCCTCCTCCTAGAGGCCTGGCCTAGTCTAGGCTAAGCTACTCTCATGCTATCCACCACCTAGTTAACGCCGATATCGTGTTCAAACCAACGCACCTTATAGATACCTTAGGCCTAGGGATGTGCTTTGAAGGTAAAAGTGGAAAGGAGGATTTCTATTCTAATTAACTTGTATTTAGAACCCACCAAGTTTACGTTTTGTAAAACTTACTCTAAGTTATATAGTTGATGGTGTAAAGTCGAGGTACACACTAATTAAGCACCAACAACAGTGACACATCACACACACAAATTCAGCCAAGAAAGAAGAATATTTTTTTCCGAGAGTATCATTGAACTACCAACCAAAGAGCAATTCAAAGATGTGGTTGACATTAAGGCCCTGTAAACCAACATCATTTATTGTAAATTAAAATGCTAAATGTGTGTTTTTTACCAAAGGACACTGCAGTTTTGTTTGCAAGTAAAAATTTGAGATGAGGGATCCCAGGCCTTAGAGCAAATAGAAAATTTTTTTTTAGATTATCATTCCCGCCCGCATCAAAAATTCTGGAAATATTGATGCAGGAATAAAAAAAAAATTTTTCTTTTTGCCGCATCAATTATTTTAACAGCATAAAAATAACATGCAATTTTGTGACTTCAAATACATTTTCTTTAAAAAACTATAAAATTAAACCAGTTTTTATACAATATTTACTATTACAGACCAAATATAAACAGTCCCTCCCTCATCGATAAAAACAAAAGCGAAATAATCTATTGTTCCGATTAAAAAAAAAAAAAGAAACCCCCCCCCCCATCAATTTTTTTTTAAAAAGAATGAATCTAATAATTTTTTCTATGTGCCTTTAAAGGGACTTGGAATACTATAATGTGGAAATAAATAAAAATAGTGATCAAAAATGTCATTCATTTTGGATTAATTATGCATTTTAATTATAATGTATTTATTTGAATAGCTGTCTCAGAGCATATATTGTTAAGAACACATAATTACCATAAAAATGTGTTATTGCGTGATCATAAAGATTTCTTGATCCCAACCAGGTTAGAAAAAATGTAATTCTGCTGTGTTGAGAATGATGTTGCTTCCATTAGATTTGTTTATATTCATTTACAGAAAGTAACGCCTTGGGTGTTTATTCAAGGGAGGCGTTTATTCCAAATGAAACTCTAGTTAACACTGCTTTATAAAGCTTCAGTATTAGGATTGAAATGTGGTACACATAAAATCAAAGGAATAATTTCAGGTTTAATACATTAATTTATTGTTTCAATTAATTAATGTTATAGTATGCATAATTAATAAACTTCTAAACAGGTAGAAATGTTTGAAGGCACATGTAATGTACTACAACCATACGCCCAAATCCAAGGGAAAGCAAAGCTATTAGACTGTAAAAAATATAGAAAAGATGTAGAGTCAATGTGAAATAGTCAAATTACTAGGAGAAAATTTTCTGTTTAAAGATACTGTGTGAACACTTACTAATGTTTTGTGAGATGTCAGCTCATATTTTTATTGTAAATTTGGTCTTCTTATCTGAACTTGTCTTGGATTAGTTCAGTTTTATAAAATGTTAACACTGGTGAAGTAAATGGAGTGATGGTGATTATTGACATTTTCATTAATAACTAGTGACTGATAGTCCATAAGGCTTAAGGCTTTTCCATAAAGAAAACTTAAAACCTTTCTGTTTCAGGACGTTTTTCTTTTTTTCTTATATTCTGTGTTTTATGCCATATGTCAGTACATATTAAATAATTGAAGATCTAGTATCATATATCGATTGCCTTTGTGTGGCTTGCTTGAAAAAGGGGATTAACCAAACCAGAGAAATCAATTAAATTTTCAGTGATGTACCTAGAACGTAACAATGTCATGTTAATTTATCAGCGCATGTCATTGTACGTTAAGTTCTCTCTTGAAATCTGGAATGCTCGTCGGTTGAGTCTACCTCCAGGCCAGAACAATGACACTGTATTAAAGATTGGTGGGTCGGTACTTGCGTTTGTGATGTCTCCACGTGCACATCGTAAAAAATTTATTTAACTTAGGGCATGCGCAATGCCAGTCACGGATGGGCGACTCGTTCTACGTTCTCAATCAACATCTCCCAATTATACGCTCCATTAAACTCTATGCTTTGACTTGCTCAAATGTCTTTGTTAAGAATTTGTATGCTGTTGCTACTTTAGATATCTAGCCTTTGTAGTGAAATAAGCATTTTGCTACAATCATAACTGCAATAATAATAATAATGATAGTAATTGTCATTTGTATAGTGCCTAACCAAAATAAATTTTTTTTCAAAAGCGATACAACCACAAAACTCAAACTAGAGGACTACATTATTGTATGTTTGTGAAAAAGATGAGTACGGCACAATACATGTACACCAAGAATTATGCATGTAAAAATGAAATGAAAGTATTATGCACATGTTTTTCTACCAGTGTGTTGCAACACCTACAGTGCTATTAGAGAGCTGTTGTGTGTGACTTTTCTTTCTCACTTTTTCTTTGGCAGAGGCAGTTATCGTGGTATGGCAAATGCCAGTCTACCGTCAGTCATCATAACAGTTCGTTTGATTCGTTCCTTTGAACATCGCAACATCAAACCGGTAATTTTTAAAGATGTTGACCTCAATATATCTGTTAAAGAATTCATTGATTTTGTGAAAGTTGGTAAGTTTTCCAATTGAAATTGTTTATTTTAATTTTTTTTAACCTTTGTTGTTAAAGTTTGTAACTTCAAATTACATTACTGTTTTATATAGACAATAAGAAATTATGACATTTCAATCCTATTTTTGCAAATATAATATTGTTCTAAACAGTGTTTTTGTTTTTAAGGTCTGGGTGTTTTGCTCACAATTTTTGCTCGAATCAAATATGTACTGTATGCTAATTGTTTGACACACTTTTTGTAGTCGTAAAAGAAGCGTGGGCATTGTAGGGCGCATTGACCACCAGAACAGCTGTTAAGTATCTGAATTAACAGTTAACAACAGATAATATAACAAAATATATTACTGAGTGGGAGATAATAGGAGATTCAACTTTACAGTCATTTCATTAAAATGATATGAAATATAAAGTTAAATCAAAGCGTGATAAATTCTTGTCAACATTTGTCCTGTGCAATAGTGATTTATATAATTATTTCTGATATTATTAATTTATGGATCTCATTTGGTAATATGGTTGTACATTCAATGTGATTAAATACATTCATACTATATTGTAATACTTCTTTATAAAAATAGCAATATTTTTTTAGACAATTATTTTAAAATATAAAGTCTAAAATGCAGAGATAGTACACGATATCAACATATAAAGAATTATGAAAATATAATTGAAATTGATAAATAGACTTTTTCAGAAATTTGTAAAGTGATTGTAGACCAGCATGTACAAACACACAACACTACAACTCTTCTTAGATTTCCAAAGTAACATGCATAATACATTATTATAGCAAACTCACTATTCTTTAACCATGCAATTTGGCTACCTTGTAACATCACAAGCCTGGCAAATAATTGAATTTCAGAGTTCAGAATTACTAATCCAAAGATAATTCACACTGGATAATTTAAGGAACATCTTGTTGCCTTTCCTACAACTACCCATAGATTGTTTGCTTACGCTCAATTTTTGTTATGGTATCGCTTTACTTTCATGTCGACCCCTGTTGTGCGAGTTGGCTTTCCATCAATCTCTTTTTAAACCCCGAATGTCTAATTGAGGGGATGGGAAAGCAGTTGGGTTGCGTTTTGTAGTAAATGAAATCCAGAGCAATAAGGCCTAGGATGGGAAGAGGATCCAGATTGGCTTATAGTGACATCTGGGTACTATTTTGTAACCTTGTTGATAGCTTTAACCTACCTCTGTCCTATAATCAAGTCTTAACCATTCTTTCATGTAGGTAAAGCTCCTTTACCTTATATGTTATCCCTTACCGCAGCATTAGCAGACAGCTGTTTTTATGGCCCCTATAATGTTCCTATAACCTGTCAAATGATTCTATATTTATTATCCATGATTTACTGCTGTATTACAGCATGCAAATAAAATCCATTGTTTCTTTTTCTATGTTACATATTGTTTTATCTTGCTTGAGTAAACTAACAAAGTAACATATCTTACACAAAAAATAATTGTTTATCATGAGTTGTCTATTATGAGAATCATTTGGACTTGTAACCTGTCAAAAAAACTAGTATTTTGAATAGTTTTAATATTATAATTACTGTATCACATATTAATAACACATAAGAAAACAATGGTTTTTGTCAAACAATTTCAAGGCAGTGTCTTAAAGGAATTAGAGCAGTGTCTATGCCGTCATTGATTTGAACTTTACTTTCTGTGACTTTAAAGTGAGAGCCTATAAAGGCAGAGCCACCCAAGTGATTATGTGTTCATCTGTTTTGCTTTACTAATTGTTGATGGTATTAGCATGCCTTAGTACATATTAAACCAGTGTCTGATGATGGTGTATAATCTTCATCTGTGACGCTGTGGCTGTAGTTTCTGATTGGAATTCCTCACCTTCATTTAATTTGTTTGTGCATGGAGGTTTGTGGTAGCTTCTTTTAATTACCTACGACTTAAATGAAATAGGGAACTTGGCTGAGTTGAAGTATCTATATATTTAGCAGTGGAGGCACATGTCAATACAGGGTTGTTCTTCCCTTTCCAATTCAGTAGGTCTACCCAGTATACAGTACACAGGACATCACTGTGTTGTACCATGAAATAATGACAAAATTACAAGCCTAAAATATGTTCTTGTGATGTTCAAATACTTTCATTTGACTTTTAATATATTATTTAGGTAAATATTCTTTAATACTTTTGGCTTGGTATTAAAGAAAATTTACCTAAATTGTTTTACTAAATATAATTTAAAAAAACACTTTTTGATAGATTAATGAATTTATTATTTGAACTTCATAAATATGCATTTAATTATTTTTGTTAAATCCATCCAGTTCATGACCAGAACTTACTGTAGTCAACTGAGTAGATTAATTAATCAAATCATTTTGATTAATTAACAGTTTTCTATTCAATTTCAGAGATTAAAACCCGTCCTGGTTTACTTCCACCATTTCGCAACTACGGCTATGATGCTATGAAGATACAGCATATGGCACATGGTTCTAAGGTGATTATAATAAAAGTGATGATTAGATTTCAATGATGATTAATTTGGGTCTAATTCCATGTATGTTATCATATACTGTACTGTACATCTTCATAAAGCACTTCATTACACATTATTACCTTTGATCATTTATTAACCATAAAATATATGGTGACATCTGAGCTCCTTTGTATTTTGCATTCCTCAGCCAATATCAAGAGAGTGGACTTTATAGTTGGAAACCCCTATTTTCAGCAAACCTCCTCTTTTTAAACCTCTCCCCCCCCCCCCTCCTCCTTAGACTTTTCTCATAAAGTTTTCCATGCCTCTTACCCATTTTACCCTTTTATAATCCTGGATTAGGGTAGTTTTTGTAAAATGCTTTTAAACATAGAATAAAGTGCATTGCTTTCTACGATGTTCACCACCTCCTCCTCCCCAGCTTAAAAAATGCATTTATATTGTTTTTGAGACAACCGTACATAAATTGGAGAGGCTTAATTAATGTGGTGAGAGGTCATACAGTGGTGTATTCAGAAGTATTAATGGAGGGGCGTTGATGGGAGGCCGCAAATACTACTTGATTAAGTGAGCGAGGAATTTGCTAGCAAAATATATTGAGATGAAGTGATTTTCTCGGGTGAACTACTCAAGCGAAATTTTTTTGGTCAGCAAATTCCCAATGGAACCCCCGTAGATATGCCACTGAGTTCATATAAGATGAGCAAACCACAACTTTACTTTATTTTTCAGACGAGCGATCCAACCATAAACACAGAAGATGATGATAAATTGATGATGAAGGATGACAATACTCTACAGGAATGTGGAATAGGTACAGTAAAACCAGATTTAGAGATGAAAAATTTCTCCCACAAATTCAATCAGTCCATTCCAACCATTACTACACTCGAAATACCTAAAAATAGCCTATGTGAATTGGCATTTAAACATGACTATTAATTTAGTAACTTTTCAATAACTTAGTACGTTGTCCACCGTACCATAGCTGATGAAATATAACAGTGGTCATGTGTGGAGTGATTTACAGCCTTCATTTATATCAGTCGCCCCTTGCTGTGGCAATGCTGTTGCCTAATTACATTCTTTCATTTGAACCTGGCAGGCGAAGGGCAGCACTGGCCTTCTGGGGGGACATTGGCCAAGTTGATAGCAGTCTTCAATGTTCCGTGTAGAAATGTGACTTAAAAAAGTTTAATCATCATTCTAAGACATTTTACTGGCCCCCTGTGGATTCATATCTAGTTTATGCAGTCCACGCACTCCCTCCAAATCATGCCCCCATCTGCTTTAGTTCATCCAACAAAATGCACCATGAGGCCATAGGGGCTAGCCATTCTCAGCCACGCTATGCATTATTCAATTAAATTTATTTCTTTCCTGAGTAAATTTGAAACTTGTGATTTTGGTAACCCGCAAACATTTTTTTGATTTTATCAACATTGTCCCCTGTGATCATCACCATTGATTCATATACACTCTACATTCACAGTCTGCTTAATCATAAATATTATTATATTTATTTATAAGCATTGTGTAAGTAATTTTTTTTTTATTTATTCATTTAAGCAATGATATTTCATTCAGCAATATCTAGGTAATTTTCAATTTGTAAAAGCTTTCTGTTATATTAACTTACTGAAATGAGGACAATTTGTAGACATGGCTATGGAATAGAAAGAAAAATATAATGAACAGAAAGAATCACAAAAAGTTAATTTTCATAAAAAGAGACGCACACGTATTAAGGTATAGAGTAAGTAATCCCCATTGACTTTGGCTTTTACCCCCTGTTGAATATCAACTTACAAAACAAAAGTTTCTCTACATTCCAGTGTTGCCTTAAAAACTGTATCGTTGCTATCATCTAAAGTTTTTGCTTACCAGACAGTAAGCACGTGCTCGCACTGTTATTTCCAACTTTGAACTTGATATTTGACAGGCATATCAGAAATTGGTGACTGAATAATGAGCTACGTCTTGGATGCGTTCCGTGTCAGTGAAACCGCATTAAAATATTGGACATGGTCAAAAATGTGTCACATTGGAAGTGAGGAATGTGGTTGGTTATTGGGGCAGGAACTTATTCGTGACCATATGTAAAAGTGACATTTCAAGGCCGTAAAATTTGCCTTGATGCAAACTGAACCAGTAAAAGTGTCTCATTAAAATATGATATTTTGTTTTTATAAGAATTATGTAATTACAGTCTACTTCACATACACACATTACAAAGACTTTGTGTTATGTTAAAGTTGTAAACAGAGGTAGATGGTTTTGAGTGTATAAACATTAAGGTTTAGATGAATTTAAAAGTATATAGGGTAGATGAATTTTAGTGTAAACAGTTTTACAGTAGTTACATATATAGCATTACAGTACACAACTTAGGGGCGATGCTTTTAGAATTAGCCAGCTTTCAGGAGTATCTGGATTTAGCACTGAAATTAAGTGTTTGAACTGCCACATATTTGAGTAGGAACTTTTGTTCCACATTAGCTTTGCCCTCCTCTACCGTGCTTTTGAGGAAATTAATATGTTACTGTATCATTCTTTATTATTATTGAAGATAGACAGCATAAGGGTAGTCTGGTTTAGGGGTAGACAACTTTCTACAGAGGTAGATGAATTTAGGGTCACTAACAAACCAACCTGGCTACATGAACAGTCAGTATCCTATCACCTCTGACTTATTATCTTACATTAGAGATACATGTTTAAGGATAAGTTACTGCTATGTTGACAGTTTTTGACAGATATTGCCATAAAATCTTATATCATATATCAACCAATTGTCATATATTAATTTGCTTCATGTTTATTACCTTGAGCAAACCCCACACGATCGGCAAAAATGGATCTAGAATGGTTTCTATACGTCGTTGAGTCTACCTGATTTTAACCTCATGAATTTTACATCTTTGCGGTAACATACATAAGTTGGTAATGAGTGAAAGTACTGGCTGGTGTTCATTACATCATTATATCATTATTGCCAACATTTTCCAGGGTTACACAATAAATTGGCTAATTGACCTCATGTTGAACTTTGCTATATTAATGCCAATTATGAATAACCATACCAAAAATCTGGGACTTAATTCTATGAACGTAAGACAATATACTTAAATTTCTATAAAGTCTAGTAGTAAGCATGTGATCAATGAGTCAGTTTTTATAGGTATTTTTTGTTTAAAACATAACTTGAAAACAGATGTAAAATTATGTTGTTTTAATAGTAAACCAGGATGAATGAAAAAAAAAATGAGAGATTGAATATTGAACATGAAACATTTCTTCATTTTGATGATGTATAGATTGTGTTGAGCAGAATAAATTTTAAAAACCAAATTTAATATCTGAATTGCTAAGTTGTAAGCATTCTAGTTTAAAGTATATTTTCCTTGCTATTTAACATGCGAATGAATACTGTAGGTTGGTGAGGGTAATCAATATTATGATTTCCATAGTAAAACTTAGATCACCAGAACATTTTGTTTCATATATCATAACTTGTTTAATAAAATTTTAAGAGGTTTTTTCCTAAATTTTACACCAAACAGTGTAACTGTAAATATTCAGTAATTGAGGTCCCTACAGTAGTAAATTATAATGATCATACTGCACAAGATTATTTTTTTTAATTATGTAAATATAATTAAGAACGACGATAATAAGTGCCAGTTGAAGATATATGGAACTAAAATAGGATAATTGTAGTTGATATCTAAACGTTAAATGAGGTTAATATGCATCCGTTGCGAAATTTTGCGATCTTTTGTACTTTTCCATGAATGATCTCAAGGAGACATTATATTATATTGAGGTCAAAGGTGAATACACTGTGAATGTCCAACTGGACTGTTATTGGTTGCTAATTGGCATACAGCATCACCGCGCAGTTTATTAATCTAATTATATTCGCATTCCATGTATGTTCTTGTAACGTGATTTTCCAATACAATTGTTCATTTGGCATTGGCTTTTCATAATACTTTACATACTGGAATGCGAGAAAAAATATATAACTTAATAGTATCAAAATATAAAGCTCGAGAATAAAATGTAAGTTAACATATTTATTCATATATTTTTCTTGGATCATCAAAAAGAAATCCCTAACAAATACAGTTTTAAAATATTTCAAATATATTTTAGAGGTTAATTAGTATTGTATTATTCTTATTATTGGGATGTTTAATTTAATTTTATATTTAATGTGCTTTTATTGGGGGTTATCATTGGCTAGTATAGGTTTGATTACATTTCTTTCAGATATATACTGCTTGTATGTACAGTACAGTAGACCTATTTAAATTTACAAAGGTCTATAGCCTTTGTATTATTAATTCAAATGTTATTGTCATATTCAAGGAGTTCTTATATAGCGACAGCAACAGCTTGGCATAAAAAGTTGCCTTCTTAAGGTGTTAAGGACAAGGTATTATCAATTATATTGCATGGAGGGGTGTATGAATTACAACTTCTCTGCATAAACATTTTCATTAATGTTTTATTAGTTCACTGAGTCTGAATATGCTCATAATTTTTTGGAATGTTCTTAGTCAATACAAATGGTTTCATCTAACAGTTTAATAATTTTCATACAAGCATGGTATTTGCCTGGTCTGTTTAGGGGGTCTTTTACCCTGGGCAGTTGGAAACTTGGTTGAAGTGGGTTAATTGCTTGTCCACAAGCTGCCGGATGTATGTCGGTCCTGTTCTGTGACCTCTACTTAACCTTTGCTTGCAAAATACGTGGGATGTCAACTTCGTCTCTTTTCAGATTAACATGAAGCTTATCATGTTAGAAAGATGAGCGTCGTCTGCTGAAGGGATAATGGTGGAAAAACACTCCCCACATGCAACCCCTGCCGTTCCCTCTGAAACATATACATATTAAGTATTAAAATACGAGCCACTGCACTTTATTGTCACATATGAGATTTTCTTTATGGTGGTTGGTGTTAAGTTTGATGAGTTCCAACCAAACTTGCAATACGTTCCACTATAATTTATAAAAATATGGAATCAATTTAATGCTTATAAATGTAGTGGCATTTCGTGAGAATGTTATGAATTACCAGCAAAATTTATGGACGTGTAAATGCGTGCAAGAGCTTTTATATGCCTCTTAATTACTTGTCCAATGTCGCAGCATTCTCCATGACATTGGCCAGCGTTAACATTAGGAACATCTTTGAGAAACTTTGTTTTAGTTAATGCAGTACTGTAATTTATCCACCATTAATAGAGAAAGAAAAGATATTAAATATTTCAATTTTAATTGTCTGGAAATACCTTAGTAAATGTTAAATTATTACTGTACTGTATGTTTATTATGATATTGAACATTTATATATTTTTATTCATACGTTTAGATAAAAATGTGAAGAATTATCAACAGACATGTTTACATTTACAATTTGTGTACAATATTTAACAAGTACACTGCTACAGTAGGTTTGTTCCTTAACACATGTAATATAAACACATTAATTAATAAGAACATAAAATATTGTATATGCTGGAAAATAACAAATTATTTATTTTTGTTCACTAAATTGTCAGTTTTAAACATCAGAATGACAGTTTTTTGGTGTTGTTTTTAAGTATGATGAATGGTTTTTACCTATAAAACTGTATGCAAGCCCCGATTGAGATGTCCAAGGGTTTTTTACGATCATTTAACTTGTGCCCTTTATATTGCGTCAAAGCCGGTGACCTTAGTTTGCGGTGGTCTGTTTCTTAGTGTATCTTAATCTTGGTGGATATACAATAATAAAGCTGCAACAGCAAGTTCAGAAGGCATTCATCATCCCAGTCATTCAACTTTCACTGATAGGCTGTTAAGTATTTAATACTGTATTTAAGAACTTAAATTTAATTCTCCATTAAAAAATTGTCTAATAAACTTGAACTATAAAATTCAAAATTTTAATTGCTCACTTTGTATGTTTACAATATTTGCTATACGATGAGATAAATAAATAAAATGAGAAAATAGACTTATTTCCAATAATCAAAAGCATAACTTACACCATTTTTATATTTTTTTCATACAGTAGACCCTTAAATTGACTGGTATTTCATAGAAATCTCTATGATTTAGCAAAGCCTAATAGTTCCAATCTGCGTTAAGAATATATTTTATTGAACATTTGTTATTAATGTAGCAGATTTTTTCCCCTTTTGGAAATTTAAATTCGTTCTGTCCAAGCTTGAAGATTTTGTAAATTGAATTTTACTTGACTTGCAACTCAAGTTCAAGTACTACAGTGACTTGAATCAACTTGCAACTTAGCTAAATACAGTGACTTGACTTAACTTGCAACTTGGCTAATATGGGGACTTAACTTACCTTGCAACATCGCTGATACAGTGACTTGACTTAAGTACTACAGTGACTTGATTTATCATGCAACTTGGCTACTACAATGGCTCAATTATACTTTGACCATTTGACTCATTAGATCATCAACATTGATGTCTGTGTTTGAATAAATGAATGTATGGATGCAAACATAACTAAAAATACATACAGTAATAATATTACAAAATAGATGGTTACGGATGGAGGGTAACAGAAACCAGGAAATGTATGTAAATAGATACGTAGAGATAGGCTCTGTTTATTGAGCATCTTGCTAGAACCATTTGGATCAAACATATCCATGTCGAGATACTTTCAAACCCTAGAAATTTGGCCCAGGCAAAGTTGACACAGAATCCATGAAAGAAAAAAAAACCCTCTTTCTGACTGAATTCTGAACTGTGTTTGATCGTCTGGGAATTTTGCCAAATGGCAAGTTGATAGCGTTGAAAGATGCAAGAAGATCAGTCATGGGATTCATATGCGAACTGGCTGTTATAACGACATTTGCAATTCAATCCCGTGTTGTATAAGTTTAGGCAACTGTCCAGCTGTTCTGTCATGTTATTACCTCCAGTCAAAACAATATCAAGTGGTCACTGGCCCAATTTGTATGACCTCTGCTGACTCTAAAAATATTCAAAAATGGGAGCCAGACTGTATCTGTAAAGTTGCGGTTCTATTGATGATGGGTCTGGTCATCTCTCCTTGGTTTGGTCATCTAGATTCTCCTAGTGTTGAGGTCCTAAACCTTTTGATGACAGGTTTTGCCATCAGCATTTACAATATTGAGAGTCTAATCCTCATGATAGCTATGACAGTGGCGGATCCAGGGGGGTTCAAGGCGTTCGGACGAACCACCCTCTGCGAAGAAACGTACAACTGGGTCCTGGCTTACAAAAGGCATGTTTACCTACCTAGGCATAGGTTGGAAGATCAGACAAACTGGTTTAGCCTATCTAGTTTTCAATAAAAATAAATAATACACACTGTTTTTGGTTCGCCGTCGTAATAATTTATGTACGAAAGTGCGTTCTTCAGGCCTATTAGTTCATCGATTAATGGAAGAAAGACTACATACTGTATCTAACAACTCAATGTTGTTGGAATATAATAATATAATATTGCCTGTCTTTGATTTTTTCCTCTATGATAGGCCTAGAGAATGAGATAAAATTACCTGACCTTTTCTAAAGAGGGGGACAACCTTGAATTTTGAAGACCTTAAATGTCATTAAAAGACTCCTCAGAAGTCGGGAAAGCTTATTTCCGGCTGCCTAGGAATCAATATTTTCCTGTGGGAGGATCCCCATTTCCCCCTCCCCCTTTTCATTTTGAGGTTTTTTTGGAAAACAGTTTGAATCCCCCTCTTTTAAATCCTGGATCCGCCCCTGGCTATGGTCATACCTATGGTCGTGTAGAATGTTAGCAGTATATTTTGGTAGTTTTCATAATCTACATTACAAAATACTGTTTTTGTTCTGCTATTGCTTTTGAATACTGATGCAGATACTAATTGTTGTTTCCTCCATTCTTTTATCTCTATAGAACATGAAACTGAAATCTCTTTTTTCAAGTTGGAGGATTACAGAAAGTATCAGAGCAACCCTGTATGCAAGTGGTAACGGCAGTCTATCAACTTGTTGCTGAATCCAGTCAACTGTGGTTTACCAACCTCGTGCAGCATCCGGTGACTGTGTACCACCAATTGTTCTGTAACATCTAACCAGTGTGGTCTACCATCCAATGGGTTCTACAGAATTCTTTGTAGCAACCAGCCAGCCATTGAGGACTTCCAACTTCCTTGGTGCAGCTAACCAGTAACTGGAGTGTGCCAAACATCTTGTTGCATGCAGCGTCTAACAGTAGAGGTGTATCAACATGCTTTTTGCATCTGTCTACCAAGTCCATTGTTATGTAAAAGCGTGTAGTATTCTGTTAATGAAGACAAGTAATTTACATCCAGGACATGTGCTTTTTTCATACTGTAGGTTAGTATTGCCTGTGGAAATTAATGCTAAGACCAAGGGGTTTGTTAAGTCAACTTGAACCAACCTAAGATGGTTACACTATAACACAGTACATGTATGTGTAGGTATCTGTATTTTGAACTGCATACTGTTATCCAGTAGCTGAGAAAAAAGTATTCCCATCAGAATACAGTTAGGAACATGTTGATTCTGGCTGCAGGACTCAAGTTTATTCAGTGTATACTCTTTACAAGGTAAAAAGCATCTGTCTAAACTTATTCCAAATATGGCCCATTGAAACATCACCAAATATCCAAGTAAAATAACCCATCTGAGAGTTGTATTGGAACAGGGTGGTTTTTTTTATCCCATAGTTACATCTTGCGGGCTTAGAGTGTAGTTACTTTCATAGTTTCTCCATACTGTTTTATCGTACTTGCTTTGTACATTTGAGTGTGCAAATGCTGATGGTGTATACCATGGCAGACAGTTTTAAGGCCGATTCACACACATCACCGCATCGGCACATATCAGGAGCAGAAATATTGTGTATTGTGATCCACATTGAACATGACATGACAGATCACTCGGCATAGGATTACTGTAATTTCTATTTTTTGAGAACTGTTGCATAATAAATATTCTGAGCATTTATCGTTCACTGAGTATACAACCGACTTGTTGAACAAACCGCCAACAGTGCTTGCATGACTACTATTGTGTTTACAGTATATTGCACATAGCGAAAGAATGTTTTGTAGCTGTAAATAAGCCTTTAGATAGCTTTTATAAAGACTAAATATTGTTTTAATAATTGGATTGTAATATTGCCACAATTGGAAATTTTAAATCACTGAAAAGATTGAACATGAACAATTCATCAGTTCAACGCAATATTTATTTACAAAATTCATTGTTATCAGTATTTTACACTTTGTACAGTAGGCGGTTATATTGTTGATATTGAAACTACTTAGATAAAATTAATTTTACGTGACTTTTAAATAAGTAAGTCGATACTATAAACTGTATATTTTATAGCATTATGCTTTCAAAACACTGATAATTAAAAAATAATCAATAAATACTTTTATGAAGTTAATGTGTTATATTATATTGTATTCTTTGTACAGACTACAGTAGCAGATCCAGGAATTTGAAATAGAGGGGCCTAGGGAGGCTGGGCGAGTTTCAGGAAACCAGGCTTTAGTGGAACATATATTTCCTTCTTTTAAATGACAGAAATTTAATAAAAATATCAACTTCACTAATAAGGCAAATAATACTACAAAATTAAAATGGCAATTAAAATTTACTAACGCAATTCATTTTGAAAGTATAATATCGTTGATAAATTCTGTAACAAATCTTCAAAAAGTTTGTTAAAATACTAAATTCATCAACTCCAGATGAAACAATTAATTTTCGCTGTTTTACAGAATTTTTCTCAATATTTTAACAATATATATTTCATTGAATTAACAATATTTCCCAAAGTTGGGATTTGTGCAAATGCTTCAAAGGCATCCAATTCTGGTTGAAAGCTGAAAGTTTATCTTCTGAACATTTCATCTATTACAACTTTGTTGATAGGGTTGCCAGAAATCTGTCTTTTATCTGAAATTTCAAACAAAAGACCAGTGTTAGGCTGTGATTACGGAAGTGATGCTGATGAAAACACCGATTTTAGCATCCCATTCTTAAGAGAACCAGGTTTGAAGTTCTCCCATCCACTGATATGGTACCTATATTACCAAAAGAGCATATTAAACATGCGGAAGAGTATTTTGGAAAGCTTGCCAGTGTTGCAAAACTAAAAAAGTTTACAAGTGCTAGTACATTACGCTATAGCAGCAAGTAAGCTAATGTTTTGCAGACTCCATTATTTACATATTAACAGTGTTACTTATCACAATCTTGATTTATTGGTGTCATGTGATCATGCAAAAGAATAATCACATGATCAGTAAGATACCCAAGATCACTGAAAGAAGCTGTGACAACCATGAAAGCAATGTACAGTTTAAATCCAAGACTCTGAAAGGTAACAGATTTACTATATTTATAGTTTAGTAATATTATGTAATATTAAATGGACCCTGCCATTCATGCACCACCTGTTATATCAAGGCACCAACCAACCACCACCAATTAAAAAATATAGAAAATTGATTGACAGTCTAAATTCTAGATGCTACACAACTACCATTAGCATCAGCACATTACCCTAGGTGCTAAACAGAAACTAGTGAGAGAGAAGGGTGGTTCTCGGATACATAAAGTCATGGGCTAAGCTGTCCAACAGTGGGTAGAAAAATGTCAAAAGATCAACTTGGTGGGTTCATACCCTGGGCAGTTTGGGGCCATTTTAAGATTCTGAAAAGTTTTAGAACATTATGCTGATGGGGATAGGACTGTTCCAGGGGATTTACGTCCAAGTTTTGGCACTGTAGTGAAGTGGGATGAAACCCTCATGCTATCAGAAGGAAACTATTTGGAACACAAATGAAAAACAACAAATATAGCCTATCTTATATGAATGGCATGTAAATTATATAAGTCTACTCTATATATCTAATATTAATGGAATTTATATGAAATGTTGATCAAAATTACTGTTAAACTATATTATTTTGATATGCATTATATACATAGCAATACTGTACTTGGCATGCAATGCACATAAATAGTGCAAGTACAGTATATGTCAGTTGATAAGCTGCTATAATAATCATTCAAGGGGGGGGGGGGCACAATATGAAGTTAACGCTGCCACGCCCACCTCCGCCCCACCATGGTTCGTGTAAATAAGTGGTAAATAATCAAGCTCTCCTTTCCCCCACTGCTGGATCACCACTGAACTCATGGGTGCACCCCCTTTCCCCGTTTCCTCTTTTTAACTCAAATTTTTCTCCCCCTTTTTTATTTTTCGGCTTGACTGATGGGGGCACGGGCCCTTAAGGGAACATAGTGTAAACCTAGCATTAGTTTGATACGTTCAAAAACTTCAAAGTTAAGTGTTTTTTTCACTTCACTTATGCATTCATATGTTTTCTTCTAGTAATTGTCAATTTTTGTTTTATATATTGTAGACAACAATTTACTGATTTGGCCACTTGCCCATTGTGTATCCGGGCATACTTTGCCAAATGCACTTCCAGACAATAACATTATTACTTTGACAAATTAATGATAATTAATATTTGGTCAGTTTAATATCAAAGACTAGTATGATTATCTCAAAAACTGTTTTTATTACATTGCCTAAGAATAAATATGAATCAATTTATTCAGTTGTGCTGACCATGTTACAATAAATCAACTCAGGAGTGTATCCAGGATGCTCTTGCCAGTGGGAATGAGCATCAATTGAGGTCCAATGGTCCAAGGGAAGGTTTGCGGTTCCTCTTCCCTATAATAGTAGAGTTCAGTAAGCAACATCCCTGGACAACCCAAGTTCTGCCATTTTATCCTCAAGTATTTCATTGTTATATATAATTTTTTTTTTTTTTTTTTTTTTTTTGATGCCGGAACAAATGCCCCTTTGGTAACATAGAGAATCTACTAAAAAATAAAATATCCATAGTAAAATCTGGAACACCCATTAAAATATCATTTGAAAACATGGGCAGAAATTTGTTGTTTATATGCAGGCCCTATAATTACAGTACTTTTATAAGTGAAAACGTACCACTATTTACTGTTGGTTGAATGAATATCAAACCAAATATAAAACAATGCTACAGGATGCATCATCAGCATATTTTCAAAAGGACATTGAGATTGCATTCATGGTATGACATTGTCCAATAAACTTGAATAGCACGACAGGAAAAGTAGTATTTTTCCTTAAATCATGCGGCATGAGACATAGAAGAGGCTGCGAACATGCAAATCCTGAGGGAAAATAAACATGGGTAGTTGCCAAAAATTGAACGGAAAACCTCTAGATGACCTTCAGTCCACAAGTTTTCTATTGCGATGTTCTAGTGATAATGTACTTGTCTATGGCTAGTGACTGGACTGCTGTAAAAGCACCTGTTGCAGGTGACAAAACACTGACATTATAGACAAGTTGAGGGGAAAAGAAATTATCTTTAACTATAATGCCAGTACCTTGCTCTTACCCCATTCGCCCAATTCTGCAACACTGCATTGTCTTGGGATCACCATATAATGTTACCATTTCCGATCCAATCATTTTGGAATTATTCAAGTTACACTTTATGACAGTATGATGGCTCTTGATTTGAACCTAAATGACTGGACTCTGCAGAATCTCCATGAAACAGGAAGGACAAAAAAAAAAACATGGTCACCTTTAAAAGAATAGCCTAAACATAGTAACTTGTAAAAACATGGCCTAAACATGATCACTCATAAAAACATGGCCTAAACATGATCACTTTTAAAAACATCGCCTAAACATAGTCACTCCCAAACACATGGCATAATCATGGTCACTTGTAAAAGCATGGTATAGTCACTCGTAATAACATGGCCAACACATGGTCACTCATTAATTCATGCCCTTAATGTAATCACTCAATAAAAAAGTCACCCATAAAAAAAGTATGTTCAGGGACGGAACATGACCACCCCAAAACATATGGTCCCTAAACATGGTCCCTAAACATGGTCACATGTGTCTCTCCACAAAGTGTAATACCTCAAATTTACACTTAAATGCAGAGCTCAGCCTTGGGCACTCTTCACTAAAGTGAAAGTTTTTAATATTGTCAATATATATTTCACTAATTTAATTAACTTTGCCAACACAATATAAATTCCAAGAATTGAATAACAACATTTTTAAATATGGATTATTTGCAGGTCACATCCTTGTGGACATTTTTCGTTTCGCTTGAAAATTGAAGTAGGTGGGATTTGTTTGGGATTTGTAAAGTAGGAAATAATTATAGAGTAATTTATTGTGAGGAAAGTACCGCCTACTCACAATGTCAAATGAAATACAGTACATGATAATGCAATAAAATAAAGGACTATTACAATTCAATATAGTAATACAAACTGTTATAGTAGCTTTTTATATTTATTTTATTTCAACCACATTTTAAGTGCCTAAAACTTTCTCCTAGCCTGATATTAAGGGGGTCCATTGGCAAAAAAAAAAAATCACACAGCACGAATCTTCAACAACAAACAAGTACCATTTATCAACAACGTAGGTCCAAAATCCTGAGGTCATACTGTATTGTAAAGTAGCTAAAACCAAATAATTCGTTGAATTACTGAGGACTGTTGAAGGATGAGGTATTTATAGTGAAATATCTCACCAAAAAATATGCATGGTTGGTAGGTTTCAAAGAAGGGGATGCTTGTCCCAAATTATTACTAAGTAGATGTCTTTTCTTCTCCTCACAGTCAGAGATTGGAACCTCCTGCTGGGAAGCTTGGTGACTGCTAGCACTGTTGACGCCTTTGAGGCTGGTCTGCTAGCCTGATAAGTCACTTGCCCACTAAATCTCCATATTTTTGTTTTAAGTAAATAAATTTACAAAAAAAAATTTTTTTTTAATTAAAAAAAAAAACAATAATAATGAAAAAATCCCAAAGAAATATAATATCAAATCAACAAGCAAGAAAACCAAAACACTGTATGGTTATGCTGTACCAAATTGCTGGCCACAACTCAACTGAAGGAAAAATCTGATCCCTTACCATTGCATCATCAAAGAAACAACACACAACAATAAATAATTACTGTAATAATAATGATATACAATGATAATAACATAAAAACAATTCTTCTTCTCATATCCAGTGGTGGTAGTAGAATTGGTATTAAGGAGGGCCGTAACATGGGTGCTTTTACCTTGACCCCAACCCCAAAACTGAACACAGGGCTTTTTCTCATTTGCCATAATGAAAAGTAATATTGAAATTACCAAAAAAAAAATTAAAAATCATTAAAAAAGTTTAAAGTAAAAAATACATGAAAAAAAAAATTTAATTTGTCTACCTTGCGTAATGTCATTGAGGAAAATTGCTATGCATTTCATGGTAATTTTGTGCAAACTCTGTGCAAAAACATAGGAAAAAGGGATAGAAGGGGGGGAAATCAGAACAAAAACAATGGCAATTTCTGCCATTTTTTCAGGAAAAGCTAAATAATAATAGTACTGTAATTTCACACATTATGTACCAAGCATGAGCTTATACTGATTTTTATTCCCTGTCTTTATCAATAAAAACTTCAAAAATAAAATATTATAAGAATTGCAGCAGTTCCCTTTTTTTGCAAGCAGACACATTTTGACAACATAAAATATAAGATGGTTGTGTATAGCTATATGATATTACTGTTATCCAACTTATGTGCAGAGCATGCACTATTGAGGTTTAGATGAATGCTACTCATGCATTAAAAACATATATTGCTAATGCTACAAATGCTCTACTTTAAATACCACGCAGGAGCGGATCCAGAGATGTCCGAAAAGGGTGTCTAGATGTGTATAAGAGACAGCCGATTGAGAGAAAACACTACCCCGGGAAATTTGTGTTTTTTTAGACGCTCAGAAATAACCTCTGAGACATTTTGGGCGATCAATAATTTCTTTTTGTCTTTTTTTAAGTTTCCAAAAGGGGGCCCCTAAATCCGCCCCTGCCACCAACTTCACATCTAATGCTGAGTTGTAACTAGAATACTAATGTGCTAACAAGGCGATATTGAAGAACATGTTTGTAATTGTCTTTAGTATGACCACATACAAGAGTTTTGCGTTTTCAAGATTGAACCACGTCATTGTGGTATTGTGCATATTACAAAATTGTTTGTGCACAGTAAGAACTGTGCACATTCTTGTAATGGCCTTGAAGCCATACACTCAGTCAAAAAAATGTTGGGTAGGTACCATATTGATGGTGATCTTTGTAATTACCATTTACAGCATAATATCCTAATGTTGATCACATGTTTGGTACTCTTTAGTTTATGATCATGAGATCTCCATCAGTGTGGAATTAATGTGGTCCAACAGTCTGTGATCATCTGGTCTCTATCAGTTCAGCTCCATGAGCACCAATTATGTTCACCAGTGTTCATCAGCAACTCTGTCCACACTATCAAGTGTGTGATTAGCCATATATGGGTGTGATGACATCATCATTTCCATATATGAGCAACTCACAGATTTTTTTTCCACTTGATGATAGTGGTGGACAGGTCTTAATTAGATTTTTTACCAGTTTTTATATTAAATCAAATGTTATTTTAAATTCTAACGTTGATATTTTTTATGATAGTATTTTCCATGTAAGCAATGAAGTGAAATGATTTTTTTAGTTTTATTTTTTTTTTATGCTCATTAATAATGCTAATGTTGGTCACTTACTTCCGGTGCAGGGAGACATTGTCCAAAGGCTTCCAACAAAAGTGAGTCTTCCCTTACAGCTGATGCAAAATCTTGAAGAGACAAACGTCCATCACGGTCACCATCCTAAAAAAACAGAGATAAACCATTATACCTTGATAAAATAAAAAGGGGAAAAACTAAAAGCGTTTGTGAGCATATACTGACTTGATCTCATTGCTTAATTGGTAGAGCAGTGACGGAGTAAGGAATTCAAAATAGAGGGGGCACAGGAAGGGAATTTTTCAGATGGAGGGACTAGAACACTTCAGACCCACCATAGTTGGGGCTGAGGTACAAAACTTTATGTCTATAGCACCACCAGATGACTGGAAATGGGATTCCTTCCCCCTACCCCCCACACACACAACCACCTTGAAAATGCCACTGTAGGAATACTAAAATTAATTATTTGAAGGCTGTCTGTCTGATTTTAAAAGAAGTTCAGAGTATCAGAATTGGTTAGAGAGTAAAACTATATATATACAATATTTATATTATTATTATCATTACAGCACAGAGAATTATTATGATTAAGAGATTAGCTCATAAAATTTTTATTCACACACTGATGATAATGTACTGTACCACATTATTAAAATACCATTTTTTTAATACTAATGTCTACTAGTTCCCTGATGCCCTCATCTGGGTCTTCTTCGGTCGGCTGCTTGACAAGCGAATTTTTCAGCAAGTGGAACATTTCCTCCTTTGATATGAATCCATCACCATTTAAATCATACACGTTGAAACAAACTATTTAAAAAAATTAAAATCTATGTCACAACATAGTAATAGTCGCAAAGATGCCAAAAATAGGTATGATGTAGGCCTACAATGAAATTTAAAGGGTAGACATGTTACCATTATATAAGATCAACCATCTTTAATGACAGTGGTAAAGCTGATCATTCAAACATATTGTGTGGAGTTTGGTAGTTAAAGATCCCACCTCCTAATTGCAGGTCTTCGGTATTGCATGATTTGCCTGTATGATTTTGCATCACCATGCCCATACATGGGCAAATCACGCATAATGCCAAAGAAAGCTTAAAAGAACTTCAGTAATATACACTGGTTTTAGTACTGTTATATTTATTCTCTTAGTTATTAGTATACATTAACAATTTAAGTCTGTACTCACAAACGATTGTTTCTTCCAATGTTCCCCTCAGAAATACTGATAGTCCGAGAATCCACTCTGATAGATTGACACAGCTGTCGGCATCAGTATCAAACGCCCTCATCACTAATATCATAATACATAGATACAGGTAACACATTAACTTGAGATATCCCATTGCGCACATGTGAATGTATTTCGAACATTGTTGCTAAATTAGAATTTTATAATTGATATTGATAAGGTTTTTTTATTGTTTTTGCACTGGGTTTGATGTAGTACAGTTTCTTGTGGAATAAATACAACATGAATAACAGCGTCATTCATCTTGTGGCACAATTACAAATTTAAAACCTTTAGTTACGTTATACTTGACTGTGTTCTGAGTCATAACGACTTGGCTATAATAGAATGAATAGATTAGTAATGTTCACATGGTTAGTGTTTTCCTAAAAATACACAGCTTTATTGATACAATCTAACAGAGGATTAGCCTAGAAAACATCAAGGAAATTTGTAGTAGTAGTGTAGCAGGATATGAATTGTACTTACATCGGTCCATTATAATGTCATCCGTCATTTTGAATGTTGACTGGAGAACTTCACGGAACTGCGACCTATCAAGTTTATCTTGTCTGGCAACCTTATTATCCTTGGTCAAATATTTGAATTGATTCACCAAAGCTTTTCCTTCATTTTCTGAGACTGAATTTTTCAAAAATAAATATATCATTTTGTGCAACTATTTTCCTAATGATTTTCTGCAGAGTTTTTAGTTTGTAACATATTTACCACCCATCTCACATTGCACATTTTTTTTAACGCATATTTAGCAAAATATTCTGCAAGTCTATGTGTGATGAAGAATCTGGCATTCATTAATAAAATGATCTCAAATTAGAAATTTTCAATAACAATTACTTCAAGACAAATGTTTCATGCTTTGACTCCTATTGTATTTATCATGTTGACAAATAAATTATTGTCAAGAAAGATCAGTTATATAGCGCATAAATTAGCATCACTCGAGAGTACATGTGTTAATTAATGCGGCTTCCCATTACTGAGAATTCATTGATATTTTGCTATTGCGGTACAGTATCTCCTTTTCACATGTATAATGGGCCTGTATAGCATTATAGCATAAATAAGGCGGTCAATTGAAAGTTGGCGAGGTTTTGACATCGCATTACCATACACAAGGAAAAGCTTTGCCCCTGCTTTGCTGGTTGGCAGACAAGTTCACTCACATCAATGAATTATTGTTTATTAATATTAAATATAGACCTAGGCCTAAATCATTATCATTTTTTTCTTTACCTAGCCTAGGCTAGCCTAGGCCTAGTTGTAGGTAGGTAAGGTAGGCCCTAGGCCAGGCCACATTATTTTTTTCCCATACAGTTCCGGCAGAAATTATAGAGGGCACTATTTAAGGTCATTTTAGGCGAACTGTTAACATGAAAAATGCATGCATGCTTGACACTTCTTCTCGGGAGTGGTGACAGTGGTGGTGTTCGCTGCTTGTGCAATATGAAAGCTACGGCATAGTTAGGGCATGGAGGAGTTAGTTTAGAAACTAAACTAATGGTTAGGGTAGGCCAAAATCTCTTGGTAGTCGATACAGAGTGAACTACTGTAAATGACTATTACTGTAACTACAATATCCCTATGCCTAGTAGGCAGTGTTTACGTACAACATGGTCTTTGAAAGTATAAAAGGCAGCGTTGAATTTCTGGTCGATTATTTGAGTAGTGTATAGCAATAATTAAATGCTATTGTACTGATTCTAAAGGATAAATGTTTAGAAATGCTCGGACACACAGGTACAATTCTATGTATTGTTTTAATGTTGAATTCTTTCAAAATTTTGTTCATATTCAATATGAATAAAGCATAGATTATATAGCAAGCAGGTATATTATAAACACTAATTTTACGTTAATATCTATACACATGGTTGATATGAGGACGCTATGTGTGTAAGGAATAAACAGAATTTTCTAAATAAGATATTGTCTTTATTTATGTGTTTTTTGGGATACGATGTTCCCAAACCTCGACCATATACTGAATAAGCACTTGGAAGTTCAGAATATGTCAAGATCAGTGTAATTCGGGGGTAAGATCAAACTAATTTTTATTTCATTATTCTGAGCCACACCCAGCATAGCGGGAGCTTCAATACAAGTGTATTACACGCCCATCGCACAGTAGGAAGCCTTTTGTTAACTAAGTTTACCTATCAGTGTTAAGTAAACAAACTCAAGTCTTCTTTACAATACCTGGACTGATACTGCTACAACATGTACGATAAAAAGGACATACGGTAGCACAATTGTAGACATGGTATCAATTGAAGCTTGGAGAATGCGCATAGGCCTTTTCGGCAGTGGAAGAGAAGGAAATAACAAAAATGAAAATAGGAGAAGCCTGATACAAATAAATGTCCGAGCTATGTTAATGACGGCGTTATTGTTAATAGTAGCCGGTGATATGGAGAAAAACCCAGACCCAACTACAAGAGGAGGAGGCGTAGATAAAAATGCAGAAACGGAAAAGGAAAGTCAAATGGACACATTAATAAAACAGATCACCGCCTTAAACCAGAAAATGGATCACAACTTCTCAGAATTTAGCAGCAGATTTAATGAGATGAGCACACAAATTGACGAAGTAAAAGCCAGCATCAGAGAAGTGGACGAACATATGAGGAAAACGGACGAAAAGATTGATAACAATAAATACATCTGTGGAACTGATCGAAAATAAAATAACGGAACTGGAAGAAGAAAATATAAAGCTAAAGAAGGCAAACAAATCCCTCATGATTAAACTAGACAACATTGAAGGTCAAAGCAGAAGAAACAACCTGATGTTTTTTGGATTCGACGAAAAAGGAAACGAAAACTGGGATGAAAGTGAGAGGCGTATAAAGGATTATGTAAAAGAAAATTATGGCATACAAAACGAATTGCAAATTGAAAGAGCTCACCAACTTAAACCGAGATAGAAACCAAGCCCGATAATTGCTAAATTTGAAAAGTTTAAACAAAAGGAAGAAGTACTAACGAAGGCTAGACAAAAGGCAAACGAAATAAGAGAACGAGACGAAAATGAAGTGGAGAAAGAAACAGGCATCATCAGAGTTAGTGAAGATTACACACCCAGAGTTAGAAAAATAAGGAAGAAACTGATTGAATTGATAGAAAAGGAAAAGAAAACAGGAAAAAAATGTAAACTTACATTTGACAAAGCATTCATAGACAGGGATGTGTACACGTATGACGAAGAACAAGATTTGTACATACAATTGAACAATAAATAAGGATGTGGCCATGGTCCAGAACATTATGATCAGTATGCTCCCGGTAAACCCATAAATCATGATTATAAGAATTACGATAATAATAAACAAAATGATGACGGTAATATCTATGATAATGATGAATACAACGATAATTATATAACAATCATAATACAAGTATATGTTTATTTAAGTACATTTCATGGAATATAAATGGAATAAAAAATATTTTTCACGATATTGACTTCATCAAATATAATACATATTTTGATATAATTGGCCTCCTTGAAACATGGGAAAAATATGATGATAATATTTTTAATATAAGTGGATATAAATGTGCTTGGAAATTACCTGAGAAAATTAACGTTAGTGGTAGAAACACAGGCGGTATCATGGTGTTCTATAAAAGTAGTTCTATAAAAGTAGTATGAAGAGCTTCATAGTGCAAGCCCAAACATAGCTTGGATATGTATTAACGTCAATTTTGGCACAAATATAATTGTAGGTTTTGTTTATAGACCTCACATAATTCCCCATATGCATCAAACGAGTTGTTTGACACACTTACTAATGAATATTCATACTACAAAGCTGCATACAATGAGCATATACATAACAAGAGACTTCAATGGCAGAACAGGGGATGCTAATGATTACATGTCCGACGATGATTGTCCAATTGGTTGGGATGAAGATTTCTATAACATTGATATTGAGACCGATATTGAACATCATGTTAATTGTGACAAAATTATTAACAATTATGGGCGCGATTTACTGAATTTTTGTAAGGAAACATCTTTAAGGATAGTAAACAGTCGAATTAATAAAGAACAATCGAGTGAATTTACTTTCGCCGGGCATCAAGGGAAAAGTGTTTGCGATTATTTGCTTAGTGATTGCATAAAAACTGACGAAAGAGTTGAGTCAGATCATATGCCTATCGTTTTTAATATCTTATGTAAAAAGAAAATTAATAATTTGATATGTAATCAAGCTGATGAAGGTCTCCAAATAAAATGTAAATATATATGGTCGGATCATTATATCCCTATAGTTAAGAATAAATGGTGTCATAAATATATGGACGAAATTAACAACAATTTTATGATGGCAAGCAGTAAAAATAAAGTGGAATAAGCTGTTTCCTTCTTTGAAAAGTCAATTGATTACGTTTGCAAAGGTATCACCAAACCAAACGCGACAAAAAGTAAGAAATTTGCGCTCAGGTCCAAATATTATAGAAACACATGGTACGATGAAGAATGTTCAACTTTAAAGAATTACGTTAAAAGAAAGTTGAATAAATTTAGACATTGCCGAAAACAGGCTTGCCTCAGGGAATATCTAAATATTAAAAATTGTTATAAAAAATTAATAAAATGCAAAAAAATAAATCATTATAGGTTGAGTCGACAAAATATTATCAAAGCACTTACGGTAATGATAAAGGTGGTAAATTTTGGTCTAAACTTAAAGAAATGATCATTTTAGTAACCTATATAGCATCAAAGATCGCAATCAATTGCAAACACTTACTAATATTTTGGACAAAGAAATAGATAGCCCGAACTATGATGATAAGCTAAATGTAGACATCAGTCTAGATGAAGTAAAAATAGCGTTTAAAGCACAAAAGACAGGAAAAGCACCAGGTATTGATAGCATGATCATCAAAATTTTTTCAAACATTCCCAATTTTGTTTTTAGTAAAATTAATATTCTGTATAATCTAATGTTTTCACTTGGTTATTTTGCACAATCTTATTTATAAATTAAAGAAAATCGGTGTTCGGGGCAATATAATGAATGTCATCACATCATTGTACTCAAAATTGCATGCTCATATTAAAATTGGTAATCAGTTAACCCAGGCGTTCAAGATTGAAATCGGTACACAACAAGGATCACCATTATCGTCCCTTTTATTTAATATTTTTCTGCAAGATTTAAGTGAAAATCTAAATTTGACGAACAATATAGATAAAATCCAGATCGGTGATTGTCTATTAAATCATTTGCTATGCAGATGACCTTGTATTGATAGGGGATACTATTAAAGGACTACAGAGCTTAATTGATATACTTTCTAAATATTGTGACGAATGGCGACTCACTGTTAATGTCGAAAAAACTAAGGCTATGGTATTTAAAAATGGTGGCAAGATACAGAAAATAGAAAAATGGTGTTACAAAGGAAACGTTATAGAAATTGTTAATTCATTTAAATACCTAGGTGTTTTATTTAGTGCTAATGGTCTTTGGAAAAATGCTAAGGACAAAAATTGTATACAAGCAAAAAAAAGCTTTCTTTTCAATGAAATCCATAATCAATCGAAATTTTAATCATCTACCTGCCAAAGAATGGAATTACATATTCAACTCAAAAATACTTCCGATTCTCACGTATGGATCAGAAATTTGGGGCTTTAAAGACATTAAAATGATTGAACGTGTCCATAGCCTGTTTTGTAGATACGTTTTAAGTGTAGGGAATAACGCACCCAACATATCGATTCTATCAGAAATGGGACGGTTTTCCATATCTATTACGGTTATCCATATCTATAATTATACTTAATATAATTCGATTTTGGATATACATTATCCACACTGATCAGAGCAGGTACTTAGTAAAATGTTATGATTTACAGATAAGAAAAATAGAACGAAATGAGAATTGTTGGGCGATGCAAGTTAGAAATTTACTTTTTTCTGTGGGCTTTGGTTATGTGTGGATTGCACAAAATGTAGATGATCAGAGAAGTTTCATTAATGATATTAAGTTACATCTTAAGGACATTGAACGGCAAAATTTTCTTGAGAATATAAAATCATTTTCAAGACTTAAATATTATTGTGTATTCAAAAGTGACATTTATTTAGAAAGTTTCCATCTTTATATTGAGAATTTAAAAATGAAAACAATTATGACAAAGTTGAGATTAGGTGTTCTTGACCTTGAGGTTGAAAGGGGAAGATGGGCAAAAACACCAAGAAACGAATGAGTATTTAAACTATGTAATTATGATTTGGTTGAAGATGAGTTCCATTTTATTTTACAATGTCCCTTTTATGAAAAATTAAGAAAAAAATATTTACCACCATATTATGTAAACTTTCTTTCAATAGAAAAATTTACTTTATTAATGTCCTCTAAAAATCAAAATATATATTATAACCTTGTCAAGTTCACTTATCTTGCATACAAAAATAGAAACCATTATTTTGATAGCATACTCACACATAGAAGATGATTATTTTATGATTTTCGTTTATATTGTATTTGGGCCAATGGCCTATATGCTTAATAAATGTCCTACGTATTATCTTACCTAGGAACAAACGAACGATATGATGTACTATTTAGGCTGTGTCTACCCAATTAAATATTGAATAGCTTTATATTTAAAACGATCAAAATCAGATGGAAGTAAAAATAACTTTGATTGACTTACAGACGGTTCTACAAAAATCCTTATTAAATGTTACCAACCAATGAATCATGCAAAAGAATACAGAAACGCTCACTGTCTGTTAATAGGCAGGGATTTTTTTCTCATAAAAAAAACTTTTAATTGTAAAATTGTAAGTTAACTGTGTCCGAAGTACTAGTAATTTGTTTCCGAGCATTTTTTTAACGTCCTTCAGAATCAGTACTACTAATAGGGAGCATATAATTGCTACAACACACACGTCATACTGTATAAAAGCCTAGCTGTAGGCCTACTCAAATAAGGTGCCAGATTCAATATTAGCCTACTCCGTTTTTTTATACTTTCGAAGACAATGCTGTAGGCCTACATAAAATGTGTCTAATATATTACTACAATTTTTACAGTCTTGACTACTATTACTAAGGCTTATTTAAGAGATTTTGGCCTAGTGATTCCACAGCGTTCATCCACGCATAAAACTCGATACACCACTGACTCTGTTTCACGAGGGGGAGTCTGTATGCATATTCATGCATATCAGTTCTCCTGACCTCAGAGCCATAGATAGAGAGAGTTTGGCCAACTTGGCGTATGGTGCCATTTTGTCACCAAACAGCGTGACGTGCACGCATATAGCTTTAATAACACTTTATAACACTGATGCTGCATAAACTTTCTTTCATTTATTCTGTTCATAAGGACAATTCAATTATGGGATTTTAATATATCATTGTAAATATCATATATAATCATATTTACCTAACTTTGGAAGTTAATTAACCAACATGCTGTATTATTTTGAGAAGATAAAGTGAAGACGATTCTTTATTTTTGTTACGATTATCTTTTTGTTTTGAAAGGCTATCATCTAGGCCTATTATAGGCTATAACTAGTTGCTAGCAGCCTACTCTTCTAGCCTAGAGAGGCCTAGGCTAGTCTAGCCTCTAGTAGGGCAGGCTCCGTCTCTCTATTTTAGGCCCTAATATATTTGAGCCAACACTGCAGCTAGGAGAAATGTTAGGTTGTGCAGACAGAGTATAGTAGGTTGCAATGTGAATCGTCAGCGATAATATGTTAATTTCGCCTGTAAATGTATGATAAATAATATTAATAACATGAAAGTTTTCTAATTAATTGTATCTAGGCCTATGACTTGGATATTATAAACTTTAATTTATGAAATAAGTTTATTTTTGTTTTTTTGTACAACATATGCCCTAATCATATTATCAAGAAGCTAGGCCTATGTAAGTAAAATAGCAGCATTCTCCACACTATAATAATATTATCATTATTACTGTATTATTATTATTATTATTCATTGAATTTTTGATTTGTAATTGTAAAACATTTAAACGTTTTGATTTAGTGTATGTATTAAAACAATCAATATTAAATACAATTATATTTAATTTTTAATTTTTTTTTTTTATAAATTATTTCTTCTTAGTTGCACAATTAATTGATTTGTAAAGCACAATGGGACATGTTTGCATAGCACAGGAGTCCTTGGACAAGTTTTCGCTTTTATTGGAGGATTCAATTTATATTTTTAATTATTTATTATTTTAATTTAAGCTACCTTTGACTGATACTTCATGTAGAAATTTAGTTAATTTAACAGCAAAGTGCAACATTGCATCTTTTAGAAATATCATTGCTGCTTGAAAATCCTTCCTTTTTTTTAATTATCATTGTAATTATATTTATAGTATTATAGGCCGATTTAAGTACTACCACTATGGTGTTAGGCCAAAGAAGTACCGAAATATACAGTAGGTCTGCCTAGGCCTAGTAGTAGTATTAGGTGGATGACTGCGAAGTGGGGCGAACGGTACATAATTTACTACGCAAGATTTTTTGATCGCCATGCTAAAGTTTAAATAAAATCCCAAATCCTCCTCCTTTTTGGAATTTTAGGAAATTGATACATTTTTGTTCCTTTGTTGGATCGATTGCAGCAACCCCAAACCGAACATAATGAATGGTATTTCACATATATAGCATTAATCATCTATCATAAATGCTAACTTCCTATCCCATCGCGTTAGTTTGTGGCTCGCCATTGGCCAATGTTTTGTTTTGGTGACAACATGGCCGGTGTAAGTCATGTGATTTCTCTCTATCTACGGCTCTGACTGACCTAATAAAACAGCACCCTCTATAATTTCTGCTGCAACTGTTTTATGATTGGAAAAAAAATAATGCAGCCAGGCCTACAGTATCTGCAATTTTATGTACACTTCGCTAGCTAGCCTACTACATACCTACAGCAGGCTAGGCCCATTTCCAGCATATCTCAAGAGGAGCCTAGGCTAGCCCTACCCTCCCACAATTATTAGGCCAGCCAGCCTAAGCAGGCTAGCCTAGGCTAGGCCTAGCTAGGGCCTAGCCCTAGGTAGTACACCTGCCTGGCTGACCATTTTTTACTTACTTACAGTGTATTTGTTTACCAATTCTCAGCAGCAAATCAGCGTCTTGTTGCTGTGCCTGCTGTCTGTGTCTAACTGAATTCATTTCTAGTATTAATTTGGTATATTCAGCGGCAATTATTTGAGAATTCTCACGCTGTTTATATAAGATTGTTTTTGGTCGTCAAGGTGTTTTCTACAGCTCAGTCACATACAGAGAGCCCTCTGTTGTTTAACGTGGATGTCCTTTTTGTTGGTTGTTGACGTCTTTGTGATAAGCCGACGAGGAAAAAAATAATTAGAATAATTTTATAAGCCAGGGACAACTGGCATGAGAGCGCCATCAAGAAGTGACAAATAAACATAGATTGGTATTAATAATTTTTATTGTTCATTAACTCAGCCAACATGAAATAAACAACTAACAATGCACACTCAAACACTGACACAAAAACTTTTACAAACTATTTTTTTTTTCTTTTTAGCCCCATCGCCATCATTTATAAATAGGGTAACATTCACAAGACGCAATTTTGTCGTCGTCAATTGTAAACATAAATGTAAGCATAAACAAATATTGTACTAACATATGGATACACCTTTATATTGTTTTCAGCATCCTTGGCCTACCTTTTCCCGCTCTGTCATCTATAAAACATTTACTCAGTAAACAACGATTAAACGTAGGAACATTGTTACAGAATATTGTGTTTCTTTTCTATATAGCCTTATTAATTTTTTCTATTTCCGACATACCTGTCATTATTATTTTTGTCCATTTTAATTAGTCCTGTAATTTGAAATCCACGGTACTATTGCATTAATGTTGATTCCATATTTTTATTTTTAAGTTGCATTCACCAGACGCTTAATCTAACCTTTGCTTAGAACACACTGTGCTTTATCACAAAATACATACATCTCATATAGGCCTATCTATAATCTTCTACTTGCTGATAGTATTATATGGTGCAAGAGTTTAATATCGAATTGTGTTCTTGGGGGACGATGAATAGGACTAACCAGTATTTAACAATAAGTAACTGCGTTCTTATAAACCATTACTGTACAGTACTTGTATACGGCATTATTCATGTTATGTATAGGCCTATATTAATTAAATAATTTTGAGTCTAAATATGCATAAGGTAAATCTATGTACCTGCTTACAGATTTTATTATTAGGAAAAGAAAGTAAAATCGGAAAATATTTGAAGTATAAACTGTTGTTTTCGAATTTACGATTCAACTTCCCACCGACCCTAGTTTGGAAACCCATGGAACCGATTGTTTCGGACAGCTGCATGCAAACACATTAAAAGATTTATATATTTAATGAAACTTGTAACTTGGACTTGTGGATCAATCATGTGGATCGTTTACATCTTGTAGTGACATCTTCAGAACATTTATCCTATCACGCACCTGAATACGACCAGTGCACATCTGATCATAAAGATGTTCATAGCGATGATTATGAATGCTCTGTCGGTCGGTATTAGTTGACTGTATTTGAATGTCGGGCAACACAAGCTGGTCAAAATTCTGACGACCAACCAACCAAAATGTTGTCATTCCTCCTTTACCCTGCAAATATCATGACTAAACTCATCAATATGAAAATTTATTTGCCTCCAATCTAATTATATCTACTGCAGAGTGTATAAACCATAAAAACTGCAATCAATAATTACAATCCTGGTGTGGAGTTCAGAGTAATTGAGCTCGATTTGAAGCCATTAATTATTACACAGACACTATTTTCAACGAATCATTTTATGACATCATGTTCATCATGTTTACCTACCTTAATAGCTAGCTCCCCTCTTTTCAACATTCGAAATTCACCAAACTTCAATAACAAATCGTATGAGGCTTTACTCAATTGAATTCGATTTGCTGCAACAAAGAAAATATAATTCATACTTGATTTCGAGGCCTTTATTTGATGGTGGTGGTGGTGGTGGTGAGGTATTAGTTGACGTAATGACGACTAGGCCTATTTATGATGTTAAGGACGGTAACGAAGCTGGTGTTGGTGGTGATGTTTGTGCTGGTTTAACTGGTGGTGGAGATATTGCTGTTGATTTTGGGGCGATTAGTTACAATTAATTTTCAAGAGTTACTTTGGTAAATGTTCAAATCAGCCAGCCTTTAATATCGCGTATGTATACGCGATATTAAATGTAGACCTATATTTGTCAATGTTCCTACATTGAAGATCAAAGTTAGAAATCAATTTTAAATCCATAAATCTTTTTGATCACACGATCAACGTACGTATTCCTTGAGTCTGCATCCTGGAAGCGGTATTTACTGTATCACCAAACAGACAATATCGAGGCATCTTAAGACCGACAACACCTGTCACAACTGGTCCTGCAAAAAATCAAGTCACGATTAGGCATCATACGTGTAATACAAACGAAATAAGCCTTCGAATAATTCTTTATTAACATTATTGTTTTGCCGTACCAAGTAGGCCTATCACTATATTGCTTTGAGATTGTTTTAGATTTATTACCCCTGGTTGCTTTATTTCAATCAACATACCGTTACATTCGTCCTGTAAACTATTAGTACGTATTTCAAATTACTTGATTTCTAGATTGATATGCGCGTATTATCCAAAAGGTATAGCTTAATTTGGCTGTGGTTCTCAACATAGACCTAATAATATAGATGAAACTCTACAACGTTACTATACCAAACAGTTGCGTTGTCAAGTATTCATGCAAAGAGGTAAAAAATATTACCTGAATGAATTCCAATTCTGATCTTGAATTTCGTGTGCAGTTTATCTGGCACCTCAAGAAAACTAATGTGGTAGAGTACATCTAATGCTGCAGTTGCAATTTCACTAACATGTTTAGCTCCATTTCGTTTTGGTACACCTGGCATTTGAAATAGATAACCAATTTTTGAATTTTACAGATTCATATTGATTTCTTTAAGAAAATAAAAAGTTAGATATTTCTATGATACATTTTACGCATATTTACAAATGGTGTGGTATATATTTTACTGTTTTTTCATGCTGAGATTGTGTTTAGGCACTAATTAATGTTGAAGAATAACAATTTAATTATAATGGTGTACAGTCATATTTTCACATTATATGTAATAAATTATCATTCATACATATACCGTGTTTATAAGCATATGATACGTAGACATTATAGTTATTTCATATATTATTATAATAATCTATAATATTATAGTCATTATCTATTTTTAATTTGACCAAACATACCAGATGCCAGCATATATGTCTCGTTGATCGTTTCGACTTTGTACACGTCATAGTTTTCAATTCTCGAATCGAAAATTAAGTACAGACCATTAAGCATTTGGACAACCTGAAAACACCCAGATATAATAATTGTTAATAAATTAAAACATTAGTTTAATGGATAATATAAAAATGAAGGGAAAAAACTAACTAAAAACAAAAGTGGAATTGATAAACATAGATGCTCCACGATTGAGTAGCAAACCACTTAGGAGATTTAACGATTCTCCATACAATATTTTTGTTAAATTTTTTTCAACAGACAGTTGACTTATTTAACATGGTAATTTAATGCTTATGTTTAGTAATTTGTGTATTTATTTATTTTTTTATTTCTTCTTTGCATAAACATACATTAAATATTTTTGAATTGTATTGAACTTATTTTGTTGTCCTAAATCATCTGCCCAAGTACATTTATAAATTATTTTAGTGTCGAAATTTTAATTTTTTATTATACTAAATACTATAAACATGTCCTTGACCTTTTGTTTCTACAGTATTTTACTTAATCTTGTATAATTCATTTGTGTGTGTGTTTTAAATATCTCTTAAAAATGTCCCGTTTTTGTGATTTTTGATGTTCATTTTTTGCAAGTTTATTATTTGACAAATATTGTAATATCCAATCTTTCTTTTTGATTGCAATAAACATTATTTGAATTTAACGAAAGCTTACCTGCAAAGGAGAAAATTTATTGCAAAGTTGATTAAATCCGACAATATCAGAAAAGAAGACAGTTGCATTATCGAAAAACTCTGCTTTAACATCCATTTTGAGCATCAGTTGTTCAACGACAGGTTTCGGCAGCATAGAATAAAGCAGCCAATTAGATCTCTTTTTCTCCTTGTTTAAATCTTTTGTCTGTGCCGCCAGAGTAAAGGCATAGCTTTGGATATCTGTTGTAAGGGCCCAGATTGACCGAAGTGTGAGTGGGCAGAGGATAGACACGATGATGACTACAATAATGCTAATAGCGATGGCTTGTTGATCCCCCTTTAGTTCATGATTAAGACGAATAAGAATTTCTTCTGCCATGTCCTTTTGTACATTCTCAAAGATATTGATATATACTGTCATGAGATCAAACCACCTTTTCGCCTCGTCAAAGTTTGGAGTTCGCATGTCAGCGTTGTTTTGGAGAATTATCAATCTCATTTCTTCGATCATTTGCGTTACGTTCAAATCAAGTTGATGCATTTCCTTGTTATAGAATTCTGTGACCAATGTAGAATAGCTCATTGATGCTTTAAAATTCCATGTTCCGACGTTAGATTTATCGAGATACCAGACGAAGTCTTCGTGTTCGTCAAAGCCGCCAAGAGTAAAGAAAATTGAGCCAAGTGTCCGCTCAATACCTCTGTCAACATTGCTGACAATAAGGAATTGATATGCTACTAAAGTCTGCCACATGCCATGTCCTTTTGAGTTACCGATGCTTTCATACAGCCAGTCAATAAAGATCTGGAGTAGCTCTGTGTAAAATTCGATTTCCGCATAAACGGTTGTATTGCTGCGATGTAAATGCTGACGGTGACGAGCTAGATGTAGCTTGAAGTCATGCTTTTTACGAAAGAATTGAAGTTCTTTTAACACACTTGTCTTTACCGGCCAACTATCTAGGTACTCAAGTGCTGCATCGGTTAGTGGATAGGTCTCTGTAAGATAAGCTTTGTCCTCTGGTCCAATAAGGCTCACGTAGAGAGCTGACATGTCTCTTTCTCTTTGAAGCTGACTAAGTAGAACGCCGATGTCGCGACTAAATCCAATTACATTTCGAACCTCGGTGTCGATGCTGTTGGTATAGAAAATTCCATGCAGATTGATGACAGCGAGAACAGCCAGAGACAAGATGGGAATCAGGGTTAAAAACAACATCTTTGCCAACTGTATGCGCTTTCCTTTCCCCGTCAGAGGATTTTCACGACATCTGGCAATGCTGTTCGGATGACGCAGAAGATCTCGTACAGGGCTTGCAACTTGCGATAATGAGTCGAGTGATGACTGTGAGGTGAAGACGACATTGCCTCCTATTTCTCCACCTGAAGCTGAGTGTTCGTCCATAATGTCTCCTATGGGAAATAAAGGTGATAAAACTATTAGAACTTAGTTTAATTCTTTGCCATATGACATGCATACTATCAGGATATCCCCGACGAAAGCAAAGTGGGCGTGGTCGACCTTCGATTAAAAGGCTTTGAAAGTGGTCCAGGGGGCGAATCCCCTGAAAAGTTTGTTAGGGGTTTCAAAGGCTTATTTAATCGATTTTAGAATCTACTAATATGTAGAAAATACATATAATTTTCTTTTCCTCCCCGGCGAATTGTGCTTTTTCTCCCCGACGGGGGAGGGGGGCCTCGCTGGCGCCACTCCTGCATTGGTCCTCGTCCCATGGTCACAGAAAGGAGGGGAATGATACTATAATTTATGTAAATTGTAACCGTCAAAGAAAAGGAATCTGCGGTAGTTTTTAGGACTGTTGGAAATTCGATCCCGATGTGATGAGTCAATCGTCTTTACTATTTGTACATGCGTTGCAGCGCTGATCTAGACTCACTATCATTATAACAGTTTAATTAATTAACATGAGAAATATTACAAGTATTTACAAAAATGTTTTGACAGGACAATTGTAAATGGTAATTAAGAAAGTTAAAATAGGGCCTACCTGTAATGACAATCTCAGGCTATCACTTTTTGTTCCGCCGTCAATCAGGACCAAATATTTTTCGGGCCGAGTAGTGTTTTGAAAGTTTTATATTTTATTTTCTTGTTTACGTATGTCTGAGTACAGTAGTTGCAAAAGTAAGCGTCCGTATGGTTGTAAAACATGAGACATTGCATTCTTTAATCACGAGTGTAATCTATTAATAATCTTGCCATCAAGAAATATTCCACTTTGGTAAATTAAACCATTGTCTGAAGCCATGTTAACATCATTAGCACTCTCTCATTATGATGAGGCTTTACGAATACAAGGCTTCCACTGGACATATCAAGTAATACATAAACAATAATTATTATATAGTTCGGTTGTACGTCAGTGGACACTCTGTATGTAGTATTATCATAAACACATCTTAATGAATCAAATATGGCTTCGAGTCACAACTAATTATTTAGAAGGAGCAGAGAAAAGTAGTACTTTGAACCGTTTTAACCAAATATGGATCCTAATATCTCGCATAAAAAAAAATATTTTATAAAATTTAATATTTTAAATATATATGTATAAATGAATTGGTAAATTAAACCGTTGTCTGAAGCCATGTTAACATCATTAGCATTCTCTAATTACTGTATGACGAGGCTTTACGAATACAGGGCTTCAACTGGACATATCAAGTAATACATAAACAATAATTATTATATAGTTCGGTTGTACGTCAGTGGACACTCTGTATGCAGTCTTATTATAAACACACAAAAGTAGTAGGCATACTTTGAACCGTTTTAACCAATTATGGATCCTAACATCTCGTATACAAAAAAAATATTTTATAAAATTTAATATTTTAAATATATTATATGTATAAATGAATTGCAAACAAAGTATGTCTTCTTTCCCATTCCATGCTTTCTATATCTTTTAAAGGATTTCGGATTACACTATATAAAACCGCATTGGAGACATTTTTCAACCATGGAATTCGAAATCCCGTTTAACAACAAATTAGGCCTATATGCAGTAATGATGATAAAATATGCCGACGGCAATCTGTTGGACAACTAAATGTATAACTATAAATTATATAATAGCAATAAAGCTTTTTATATCATTTATTTATACCATAAACACATATTTGGTCTATGTTTAATTTAGGCCTATTTAACGTGTGTTAATTTGTAACTTATGGCCTATTTATATTAACAATTTTCAATCTTCTAATAAATTTATATAACCGGAGTTAGCTTCAACCCAACCTTCCATTAAACTGTTTCTACAAATTAGATGCATGCACGAAATCCTGTTGACCAAACCACGTACCGTTTATCGAGATTAAGCCCATTGGGCTTCTATTCGAGGTTTTTACGATACGGATTTAAAGCTTGCCTTTTGCGAAGGGACAAGGCGCTGGCGATGTTTTTATTACCAATATCATCTATTATTATTTAATTGTTTTCATCTTTGTTTATTTATTTGTTCTTTAGGTTACCTCTTCAGTAAAATGTTACTGCTCCCCCCAAGGCACAGTGCGCGTAAAACATTAAAATCAAATGAACAACAAAACAAAATACAGTAGGCATAGCCTATAACAAAACATAGAAGAATAGTGAAAAAAAATTACCTACCTCCCACATTCGAAATTTTAAGTGAATCTTCTACCAGATTCAGTTCTTTTTTTTTTTTTTTGGATCAAAATTAAGTTTTCTGCGGAAATTCACTAGAAGATTGAAAATTGTTAATATATTTAATAGACCATACCGGTAGGCCTAAGCAAAGAGTATAAATAGAACAAGAGAGCCAACAACGCTCATTGGGAGCGTAAAAAAACGATACGCTCTACGCAGCTAGTGTAGGACGCCAACTAACGCTTGTATGTGTTTTATTACCCAGTACTGCTTAATATTCTGTCTTAAATATACGAAATATACTTATCTTGGATTGTGATAAAATATAGGTTGAAGACTGACGACATTATGCAGCTGCTACTGTCGAAAAAAACCCTGTTGTTCTCAGCAACAACTGCATTGAAAACTAAACTCCGCATGCATCTCTAAACTTCGCGATACCCCCAACTTCGCAAATGCCACCCCAGTAATGGCGCCGACAATAGAGGGCGACACTCAAAAATGTTCTTTTGGATAGGTCTATATCCAGACGCAAAAGGTGCCCTTCCTTTTTCCACTAACGGAGGAAAACTTTTTCACTAAGAATGCGTCCGGCCATGCCATTTGCGCTGTATTGTTGTTTTATTCTTTACTGATTCATGATTATGCTTTAATTGTTTTGTGTATTATTTGGATAATAGCAACGATTTCTACCGCCACCAAGGAGGTTATGTATTCACCGATGTCACTGTCTGGGTGTCTATTCCAGTTTGTTTTATATCTAGTATATTTGTTGAGAATTGATAATAAAATACGCGACGACTTGGTAACGAAAGTTTGGCACAAGTTTTTTTAGATCCAGCTGTAGGAGGCGTCCCATTTTTCGTATTCCCACCATGCAATTCGGTGGAACACGGTGGAACACTTTTTTTGTGTGGAGAACTCTATCTTGTATTTCTAGTATCTTTGCTGATTTCTGCGACGAGACGTAGCATGGTTTATGCTAGGTTTGTTAATAATACACGACATTATTGTTGTTGTTTTAATACTATCTGTTGTTTCGATTTAACCAGGCCTAGCCTTGCCTAGTCTAGGCCCTAAGCCTGTGTAGGCTAGGACTCAGGAGGCCGCCTACCCCTCCCTCCCTACCTACTACTACTAAGCTCGGCCCCTAGCCTAGGCCTACCTAGTTCTAAGTTAGTCTCGCTAGGGCAGGCGGTGGCGTCAGCGTGTGGGCAGGGAGGAATTTTGATTGCCAGTCCCTAATAATATTTGGGCCATATCTTCCCATGCATTAACCCAGTACCAAGGATTATATATTCCGGGACCCTGACTGAGGCACAGTTACCCCATGGCTCAAACCCCCATTGTCCAGCCCCTGTCTCTTATACACATCTAGATGTGTATAAGAGACAGGCGCCACCATTTTCTAGGATAGACCAAATTGAGTACTACGGAACTTCCGTAATGTAGTCCCTATGGAGATTTTTGCCTAATTACAGATGTACGGATATAGACAAAAATACTACCGAAATTATCATAGGCTGCTGACCCATAAATAACTGTATGTACCGGTAGGTCTAGGTCCTGTCCAGAACAAATGACTTTTCCATTAGGATTTTTGGTTACATTGTCCCTAGACAACTCATACTAGCTGATAAATTATTGTGAAAACTACTAAGAAAAAATGGCCTGTAAATCTTCATCCTGCCCCGTATGTTTGAAATTTGACAGCTATATTAATTATAATATCTGGTTGTACCTGTAATTTAAACAACCCACATTTTTGCAAAGTTTCAGTAAGTCTGAAATAGAAGGCTATGGTTTAATTAAGTGGAGTTTTCTGATTTTTTGTTAGAATTTTCCATGATGGCAAGTAAACCACGATACTTTCAAAATCATCTGGCAGACTACAACGGACAAGATATTGCTAATACGCAGTCTTTACATGAATATATCAAAATACTTGCACAGAAAATTTTGTCAAGTTTACAAGCATCAGACTCAAACTGCAATGGTGGTATATACGTTGGTGTTGGTGGTGTGGCTTACGCTTTAGCTGATGTGGTTGAAAAATGTGTCGTTTTGGATAAGAAGACAACTCTTATTGGCGCTAAGCACTATCTGGATGCTGCACTACAGTATGAACAAAGACAATCAGGTGCAGGCTTAAAAGTGGGCTTTCTACTTGGCACAGCTGGCGTATTTACCGCGGCTGCTCAGTACCACTCAGTTGCTGGAAATGAAGCAGATGTGAAAAGATTTGCAGAAATGTGAGATATATCATATTTATCACCTCAGCATTATTGTACTAAATATTGTTTCAAGGCAGTGGCTAGGAATACAGTACCCTACAGTACGCTATCTCGTTAATGGTGAGTGTCCCTAGCCATTGCCTACACTTCTTTATCATAGATTACCACAGTCGTGTCATCACAACACCAGGTGGCGCCCTCTTCATGCCCCCCTCATTACGCCTGAATGACTTCATAATCTTAATGGTTTTGAATAGGCTTTCTGGAATAGGCATTTTAAAACTTAATAATTTACCATCAAAATGTACTAAAAACACAAAAAGCTCGCAATATATTACAGTAGTTATCAAACACACATTTAATCATCAATTAACATTTACAAAAAAAAAAATAAAGATACAACTTCTTAATAATTGCGTTAGAAATTGGGATCAGTGGTTTTGTCAGTGGAGAAAATGGCATCGGTTGAACGCATTTTGTGTCGCCGATAGCAACGGAGTAGTATCACATGGTATCGTGACATAACACTGCAGTGCTCTATTATCGAGATAGCGTACGGTACCATACCTCCACGTTGTTTCAACATGAAGTTAAGGATTATTTTAAAATATGTTTTTCAAAATTTCTAATGTAATCTGCCATTATTACTATAAAATATCATTTCAAGTTTGTTGAATAATTAATGAGGTCAAATCAACTTAATGTTTGCAGGTATGCTAGCCTATCCACCTTGTGCATTCCAGTGAATCAATGCATACAGCAAGCAGAAGAAATACTGGTTGGGAGAGCTGGATACTTATCTGGCATTCTCTTCTTTCAAAAGAAACTTGGTGTATCAGTGAGTAAAGTATTAAAGAAATTACATTACAGTATTAAAGAAAATGTATTTGATGGTGCTTTTTTATCAAGCAGTGATTGCAAATGTTACATGCTTCAATATATTGTGTTTTTTGGAAATTCAACAAATGATAATAAGAAAAAGATTGATATAACAAAATCTAATATCACACCACCGTATAATATTCATGAAAAATGTGTTGCTTTTAAAATACGTGAAATTATGAATGATCCTACACAGTTGTTACAGCTTAAATTGATCTGTAATTACTGTAAACTCTGCCTACCACGTACACTGCGATGTAACCCATTCGTGCCAAACTATTCATATGCACAACTCTAGAGTTATTAGAAAATATATATTTAGCCTTCTTACATAAAAATTTAATTTTATGGTGCACTGTATGTCCTTTGCAATTTGAATTTTTTTTCTTCTTAAATGTTAATGTTGTTAAATTTGAAAAGTTGTACAGTACAACCAAAATTTCTTTGTATGTTTTTATGAGGACAAATACAATTTCTTGTATCTGTAAGTAATACATCCATGTAGTACTCAACCATTTTTAATATTATACTTGTTATTTGTTAAATCTAGATCTTGTCATCAGAAACAATCAACAGCATTTGCAGTAGCATTATTCAGTCTGGTAGAGATTATGCCAATCACCTCCAAGTTGGATGTCCTCTGATGTACCAGTATTATGGATCTCATTGTCTGGGTAACAAGCAAAAAGAATTGCAAGAGATCTGACTACCTTGATTTTGCGTGCTCGCAATGAAACAAAAAAACAAAGTACTACCACAAGATAGTGGGTGCCCTATTAGAATTCAAATAGAGTTTGAATCTTGAACATGCGGTCTATGGAGGCAGTACACATTTGATACAAACGCCTTTTATGTTCTAATGAAGGATGCACTCTAGTTTGTGGTAGTACATTTCGAGATTGCGTTTCAATGAAACCCCTAGAGTCAGACCTCTTGCAGTTCTAAGCACTTTGGTAACATGCATGATTTCTTACCTCCATGGTCACATTGATACTTAAGATACCAGGATATATTTCACCTACCTACTAGTGGTAGGTCAAGTTTGTTGGTTTTTGTGTCTATTGCCCCCAACCAAAACCCTATTTTCTCAATGTCAACCTGTCCAATGGTGATACTCTCACAAACCGTAAGTGGCAGCCATCTTGAATTTCAAAATGGCTGCCAGTTTGAAAGTAAAATAGCAATAACTGTGCTATTAGAGCAGGTATCAACATGATTTTGGTAGCAAACCATAGGTTTTCAATGTCAACCTGTCTAATGGTCATATTCTCACGAATCATAAATGGCGGCCATCTTGAATTTCAAAATGGCTCCCATTTTCACAGTAATAAAAATGCATAACTGTGCCAATAGAGCAGGTCAACATGATTTAGGTAGCCAAACTCTGTGTTTTCAATGTCAAGCTGTCGAATGGTGATATACACATGGATCAAGAATGGTGGCCATTTTGAATTTCGAAATGGCCGACAAATTTCTAACACAAACTGCTTAGATTTTTATGTCAATGTAATTGACATAAAATGTATGTAATGTCAATTATTAATTGCAAAACCCAAGTTTTACTTGCAACCTATCAACAAATTAACCTGTCTAATGGTTATATTCCAAGTGGAATCATACCTTACTTGGACCATGAAGGCAGAAAGACAACACATGTGAAGCACCAAAGAGAAATCCAAAAGGGGCTTTGTCATGATTCTGTATGTCAGTGGTCTATCGGAATAGATTAGATCGAATGAGCACACACAACTTTAATATATGATTCAGACATCAAAATAAGTTGAGAGAACTAGTGCATCCGAAAAACAAGATTCTATGAGCAAACACTCACCTTAGAGTTATTATGTGGTCATTGCGACCAATAGTAAAAGGTTTGACCGCTTAGGTGAACATGAAATGAGGTTGAAAAACATAAATAAAGGGGTACGAACTAGAGCCAACATGGTTTCATCTTAATGAGACATGCACAAAGCAGCAATCAATGGCCATACAGTATGGTCACACACAACCACATACCAGATTGGAAATGCTACAAGTTACAGGGGGAACTGATGTCGGCAGTAGATAAATAAGGATCTAAATGGTTCAGAAGTAAAGACAATAATATTAACAGAGACGAGGGAGTACACCAATTGTCCCATGTGTAGGAGAAATTTTTGTTGACTCACAACAAGACCCAGGGACTCCTGCTTACATCAGACCAGGAGAGGTTTGCCGACACAATACCACCAGTCGGCAAGCTGGAGATAGATATGCAGATTTTTACACGTTAGTTTGATAATGGTAACTGAGTGACCAAAACTGTCATACGTATGTTTTTTTAAGTCTAAAATATCTAAGATATATTGTAATATCAAACAGTCCACAGTTAATATTCCCATGCAGATTAAATTAAATAGCAGTCAATTACTTCGAAAGGAAGAGGTCTAGCAATTAGGTGCACATGGTATTTAATCGGCAAAGACAGTAGAACAAGGAATGCGCAAACTAATTTTATTGTTCACTATGGGTTATTTTTCAAAAAAATATGAGTTGGATCTACTTCATTGGTATTTTTACTATTTGGCAATACCAAAATATACTTGTGGGATTGGGACAACGTATCAAGTTGATAGAACAAAGACAGAAGTTGTTTCCTTATCTTTGCTAATGGTTAGAGTTTAACATTTTCAATATATCAATCATAAATAATGACAGCATCAAAGACACAGATTAACGATTACGAACCAGATAAAACAGTCCAGCTTTGTTAAAAATTTGACAGATTTTATGATGTTCAATATTTAGTGAAGTGCAAACCATTAAAAGAACAAAGCAAAACCAATTAATATGACATCGAAAGAAATTTAGCAATAAACCATGTGCCTGTGATAGATATTATCTTTTGGCAAAATCAAGTCATCTATGGCACATGGGCACATCCATTTGGAGAATGCAGTTTAAAAAGTTTATTATTGTTTAGGGAACAGATACCAAGGTCAACACTTTCAATTGTCGGAAGATGTTAAACATTATCAGGATGCATCGAATGGCAGACACATTGATGCTACTGTATTTTATAGACTGCATTAGACACAAAACTTACTTGCCATACCCTATATCAATGTTGGTTATTTGAAATGAAAAAAATAGGAAAATTGCCAGTACTCTGGTTACCTTGATATGTCTTTTTGACAAGTCTGTAAATGACACTTCAATTTAAATATTATCTCAGTCAAGAAAGAATTGTTGATGGGAGAAATATTAATGGGTCATGCCAACAACATATTTTACTCTTCCAGCACCCAAAGCAGTCATAGTGGTGGCTAAATTTGAGTACCAGAAAAAATTGCGCAATAACTATAATTTTCTGCCCAATTTTATGGTGTAGAGATCTGTTCAAGCACTTTTAAAGTGCTTGAACAGACGTCTACACCATAATAACTGAATTTGCTTAAAAAACTAGTAGTATACAATGAGGCTAATTTGAAGGGCATAAGTGGTATGTATGCCTACCAATTTAATCATTATTGATGAGAGAGTGGGTTGGTGTAATGGTTTCCATTGTGGTTCTCGATCTTATTCATGTTTGACTACACCAGTTTGCTCTACACCATGTATATATCTACTACCACCAACATCTACCGGTACATTTTTTTTCATTATTGTTACTTCGCCATGCAAACTCTTAAACAATACCAGTAATACCTAATGAAATCATTTCAAGTTTCAAATGTGTAGATGGCAGAGAAGAATAGCATGACACAAGTTTTATTGTTCTAACAAGATATGTTGATCTGCTGATTAAGGAACTCTTATGTAATTTTTTAGATTAATACCGGAGTGGCTGATATTGTAAAAACATTTAACATGCATCTGAAAAAATGTCAGTCATTTTGAGTAAAGACAGTTGGCATCCGTTCTTCATGTGAATATCACCATTGGACTGGTTAAAGTGTTATTAAGTTTGTAATAAAATCTTTTTCAATAGACATATTTACTTTAAAAAAAAAAAATTCAGTTGTCATACATGCTAACATTTTGATAGTAAAAAATTTGGTCATGGGGTGGGGAGAGGTGTTCCCATTACACGTGTAACCCCTCCCCTTGGAGGTTTTAGCTATTAATATATTATAAGGGCAAATCTCATGATTCTTATGATATGTATTCCAATAATAAAAGTACGGTATTGATTTTAAATAACTTGTGTGTTTAATTGAACCACATTTTGTCTTGTGTCTACACAAGACAAAATATGCCTACAGGCTATGTCTATATGGATTAATTTTTCATTTTCTAGCCCTTTTTCAGTACAAGATACAAAATCTGGATTCAATACTTGTCTAAAAGTGCGTTTTCTATAATTACTGGACTAGTATTTTAGCAACTGCAACTTCATGTCCAATTATTCAACATAAGGTCTGGTCCTTTTTCAGTAGTGTGTTATTACAAAAAGACTACAATTAACGATAATGCAATTTTTTGTATGTCTGGAAGAGTACGAAAAAACGTGAGAAAAATTGGCCTGTGGTCAGAATACCAAAACAGGAGTCTCCCGGCCAAAGAGGGATTGCTGACATGTATAAGTTTTTGCTTGAACTTTGTCGGCCATTTTGTATTTCAAGATGGCCACCATTACAGTAAGAATATCATTTGAACAGGTTGACATTGAAAACATAAGTTTTGCTATCAAAATCATGTCGATACCTGTTTTAATAGCACAATTATGGTTATTATTACTGTGAAAATGGCAGCCATTTTGAAATTCAATATGGCTGCCATGTATGATTCGTAAGAATCTCACCATTGGACAGGTTGACATTAAAAATATAGGGTTTGCTGCCAAAATCAGTTGATACCTGCTCTAATAGCAAACTATTGTTATTTTTACTGTAAAAATGGCAGCCATTTTGAAATTCAAGATGGCCACCATTTATGATCAGTGAGAATATTACCATTGGAGAGGTTGACATTGAAAATATAGGGTTTGCTGCCAAAATGATGTTGATATTTACTCTAATGGCACAGTTATTGTTATTTTTTATGTGAAAATGGCGGCCATTTTAAAATTCCAAAATGGCCGCCAAGACAATCTCGAAAAAAATGGACCCTTGCATTTTTGGATTCAGCATACCCAAAATATCCAGAAAATGCAATAAAATTGCTTTGGGCAAGCCTATCTCACGAAATGACACTAGGGTCCACACTACTACAATAATACTGTACACACATTTGCATATTGAAGAACATAAGATACAATAAAAAGAAAAAAAAAACAAACTCCTGTATAAGGCAGTAGACACACGATTCCGCTGGGAGCCTATTTTTTTTTGTATGAGAGGAACACAAAACACTCGCACATGTTTTCTTTAGTTACGGTAGATCAAACAATTCAGGTCTCCCTCTAAATAAAGACCCCTTTAATTAAAGACACCTCCAATTAAAGACCACCTTCCTGTGGCCCCCAAACCAGCATCTATCTTTTTATATCTATAATACTGTAATAGTTTTTTCTAAAGACTACTGAAAACCATGTAAATCCCTGGTCCCAAAACTGGTCTTTATTTGGAGAGGACCTGTATTAATATAGGTATCATTGGCTACCCTGTTCTTTAGTGTAGTCTATGGTATAGTGGTTTGGTTGCCACTCAGTATTCAGTATAATTTATTTGTCATTTGTTAAATATTTACATTGAAATACAATTAAATAAATAAACAGAATTAATAACTAGATAATAATATCACATAACAAACTATCCCCGCTGGACACCATTCCGATACCATCAGGGAGTATGATGTGACATACTTACATTTTTTTGTATTTTATATAAAGGTGCTGCCCATGGAATATCTGGCATTCTTCAGATATTGCTGTCCTTTCCTGATTTTCTGAAGGCTGACCCTACCGCTGAGAAGGACATCCGTGCTTCTGTAGACTTCCTCCTTGCTTTGCAAAATGCAGATCCACTGAAGAACATAGCAACTGTTTTAGAGGAGGCCAACAAAAGGTCCAGTCAGGATGCACTTGTTCATTGGTGTCATGGAGCACCAGGTTTGTTTAAGTCAGGCCTTCATGCCAGGAGTCTTAAAGGGAGAGGGTATTCGCATGGACCAGGATTCATGCATGGGAGTTGGTACCAAAGAGGCATGCATTTCATTTTTTTTAGTCTTTAGGTTGGAGGTCACTGCTGTGTATTTTGCTTGTATCCTTTGGGAAGGCGCTTAAATTTCTGTCTCCACCCGGCCAGGAGTATACATAGGGACATTTTGATGTTGATTTTACTGTAATTGTCTGTGCAGCGTTATATTGCAAGTATAACTTAGACTACAGTCCAAGCGAGTGAAGGAGAGGTTGCAATTTGTACCAATTTTCCAATTTATCGAATCAATGACCAGGAGTAATAATAGCAACATTACCAGCACCTTGTAGTCCTTGGCAAAAGCCATAGTATAAATTTGTATATTATTTATATTATAGTACTACAATATATAATCTTATTGTTATAATATTATATAATACAATAATCATATTTTCTTTTTATCTGTTTTATTTTAGGTGTTGTCTACATGTTTGCAAAAGCTTACCTGACTTGGAAGGATGACCGTTACCTGAAAGCCTGCTTAGACTGTGGAGATACTACCTGGAAACTGGGCCTGCTTCGTAAAGGCCCTGGAATATGCCATGGGGTTGCAGGCAGTGGCTATGTCCACCTTTTGCTCTATCGATTGACACAGAACAAAAAGCACTTGCACCGAGCCATGCAGTTTGCAAACTTTATGTTTTCAGATGAATTTAATAGTGGAGCCAGAACTCCTGATAATCCCTACAGTCTATATGAAGGTGTGGCTGGAACCCTCTGCTTTCTTGTTGACTTGCTACAGCCAGAAAAAGCAAGCTTTCCATTCTTTGATATCTTTTAAGGCAAACAGTTTTATATAACAGAAAAGATGTCAGATCAACAAAGCTGTTTTGTTCCTCCATTGGTTGTTAGATTACTCTTTCAAATCAGAGCAAAGAAATCACTAAGTGTGAAACCATTTAGATAAGATACAGTATATGGGAAAATCACAGGTATCTGTCACATGAAACTTAAGCTTAGACACTCAAGCTATTTACAGTATTGCAACTTTATTAGCTTTCACACCTTCAGTTGCCATTTTTTGACTTGCTCACAATTTAAAACAATTACTCTTAGCTGTGTGTTAGCTTCCATATAGATAACTTTCTTGAGCACTTCAATAATTATTACTATATTGCTAACATTGTAAAAAATTTACAACAGTTATGCATGTTCATCAACTGGTTGTGAGACATATCTCTTAACAATCTAATCTAGATTTTAGTACATACCGTATTGTCTGTAATACACGCCCCCTCTGAGTTTTTTTAATTTTGCAATGAGTGCCCAATCGATTAACATGGGTATGTAGTCCATAAAAATGTTGACAAACAAGGAGTAATACCGTACTGTGTGCTGCTTTGATATGAAATGAAATAAATACTACTCAAAAAAGCTTACCCAAAACGTTTGATGTTTACTGTCTTCACGATCACTAGGCCTATTTTGTGTTTCTCTCATGGTATTTTGTTAGCCTTGTAAAAACATGGTAAGCTGCAAACGACAGGTAATCGTGTATTTTTAATGTTTTGCATGTTCGACGCTGATTTGATTCAAGGTGTCTGGTCAATGAAGTCTACCGTAGTGAAAATGTTTCTTCAAGTTGAGGGCAGATGTTTTGCGTGCGGTGGTGTGGGGTGCTAGTTCATGAGGCCGACAATGTTTTTGACAAGCACGCAATTTCTGTTGTGAAAGGAGAAGCACCGCGCTGCATCGTCATACATTTACCCCAAGAGAACTCGAAGATATTTCATTTCTTTTTGAAACACAAGGAATTATTGATTTCAAATAACCAGCAACAAACAAAGGAACAGCAAAATAGCAGGAGGCCTGGAGATACCCTACACATTAACTTGTTCGTCTACAAATAAAGAATTTATTGACCATTTAAAGCAGCTTGTTTAGGTACTTTTTGATTTTACAATTCACTTCTAATAAACGCCCCCCCCCCTTTAAAAAAAAAATGCAACGCCCCTGGGGCGTTTATTAGAGACAATACAGTACCTGTTACATCCAGAAATGTCAATTATAAGGGCCTTAATATTTATAGTACAGTAGTACACCAACACTGTTTAAAAACTGCCTTTTTTTACTTTGTTCTCATAAATAAGAAATAACAAGCAAAGAGAAAGTGATGTGCAATAAGTGGTGTTGAAGAATTGCATTAAAATAAATAACATTTTAAATAAGAGAAGAGTAATTTAAAGAACCATCACAGTCTTCAAATGTTTGCATCTAAATGTCCTAGAATGGCATTTTCCTTTCTCTTTGGTAATGATGATTTTACTAGTAAATGTTTTTCTGGACTTAGTAATCCAAATTTCACCTTCATGGGAGTCTTAGCAATGTTCTCATCTTCTGCCACTTCATCTGATATATCCAGCAATGAGGCAGCTTCCATGAATCCTGCAAACACAAATTAATTTTAAAAATACAGGTACTTAAAAATGGAATGGCGAGACTCGGTATACTATTAAAAAAAAAAAAAATTGGAATGTCTAGTGTGGCTTTCATCAACATTTTGATTCTGGAAATACAACACTGTTACAAAATAAAATTTCTTGTGTACTGTATCTAAAAACATATTGAGTTTAGTACGCACCAGCAGTAGAGGCCAGGTTCACAGGATATATACCAGCATTGGTTGCAATCTTTGGATTAGCACCTACAAGAAGATAAATATGGGAAACATTGTAATCATCTTATTAACCAATACAGTAACTAAGATATGCTTGTTTGATTTGTATCCACTGGCAAATGCTACCGGTATACAAGGGTCCCAAGTCTCCCGAAAGTCACGGGATTCGGGACAGCGTCCCGCAAGCAAGCAAGAAAGAATCTCCTGGAAAAAAATCTCCTCCCTAAATTTTTCAAATTATTTTAAAAAATGGAGAAAAAAAAGAAAATTATATTCAAATTTATATCTGAGAGTGCCATTTCCAGCCATCTAGGGGTGCCATAATCATAACTTTTCTTGCCTCAGACCCAACCATGGTGGGACTGAGGTGGTGTAGACCAGGGGTGGGCATTAAAATTGGTCGGAGGGCCAAAGTGAAATTTTGATTCAACTTTGAGGGCTGCGCCCAAACATTGATGTTTCAGTGCACTTCCAAATACCTTCATACACCGTTTTATGGCCACTTTATGCTCAATTTTTGCTGCGAAGCAGCCTATTCATATTCTTGACAGCAGTTTGACCTCTGAAAGGTCATTGTTTTTCAAAAATCAAGGGCCTAAGACGACTGAAAAGCGGAGTTTCCTTCTTTCGTTCTGCCCGGTAAAATCAATTACTTTAGGCGACGTTTGTAGACTAACCAACATCCGCACGTCGTGCTAGCCTTATCCTACTCTAGGCCTAGACTAGCTAGGATGGTATAGGCCTGGCCTTGAAGGGACGAACGTCCCAATGAAAAACATTTAACATCACAATAATTCATTATTAGACCTATAGTTGTTTTTTGAATTGTACTCCACAAATCTCAGCCGATAACTCGCACACAACTCGAGTAACGTCTCGTATCTATTGTCGTGACGTCATGGCTCGCTGGCTCACACTGTGATGTCTCGCACTTGTGATACTCTTTGGCAGTCAACTCGCCCCTAGAAAACTTGACAGCGATGGCACACCGGTTACTCAACATGACAGTCATAACTTGTGGTTAATCGGAATTTGATGCAACTATATAGAACATTTCACCTCAGGCCCCTGCCTTTGACATTCTCACCAGTGTTGCATCTGTCTCTTATACACATCTAGATGTGTATAAGAGACAGCATTTATATGCAGTTGTACTTCGCAGCACTTCACTTGCAATTTGCAATTTCTAGTACTACTACTTTGTTACAGGTGATTGGTGCCAGGCCGCACACGTAGGGTTTGTAATTCATTTTCGCAGGCTGCAAAAAAATCACCGGCGGGCCGCACATAGTCTGCGCTCCGCAATTTGCCCACTTGTGGTGTAGACCCTCCATCTGTAAAATTCCCTTCGTGGGCCACCTATATTCCAAATTCCTCGATGCACCATGGCAAATTTCTTGGAACTTATTTATAATTTGGGATCCCTGACTGTATGATTTACCTATAAAAAGATTTTGAACATACCATAGTCAAGTAGCTTTCTTATGAGATTGGTGTTACCCTTAGAAGCAGCTTGGTGTAGTACTGTGTATCCAAGGAAATTGACAGCATTCACATCACAACCTGTATCAAAATGAAACTCTTTTATCAGTGGTGTATCTGGAGGCTTCAGTGCCCCAGTGCTTCATGGCGTACCCATTTATTTCAGATGATTTTTTTCAGCCCCCATATTTATTTCAGAAGCCCTTCAGTACCCATTTGATTCAGAAACTACACCATTAATTGCTTTATGAGCACTATCTTGCCACATATAAAATATTAAATATATATAAGAAACATATCTTTTGTCATATTGCCTATCAATTAAGTGCAGTGAAGAATATTGAATCAAGAATTAATCTTATAATTACTCAACACTGTACATGATTTTCTTCGCAAATCATGAAACTGTTTACAATATCTAAGGGTTGCCAGCAACTTGTACTTAAAACCCTGTATACCTGGACTTACCTTCTTGGATTAGAACATCAATGACTTCAAAGCTGGATGATGAATTAGAAATAGAAAATACTGCAAGATAGAGGGCAGTGTCACCATCATGTGTTGTCATCCTTATGTTTCCACCTGTGTTGAAGTAATGACACAATTATAATTATATAATAATATATTATATAATTATATCATGAAGTAAAGATTCAATCACACAATCGTGGAGATTCCAACATTTAAAATTTTTTGAGCTGGGGTCAGGAGGAGGCAGGGTCCGGGGAAGTCCCTGTTGGGGTTTAAGGAATAGACACCAGAAGCTCAGCATTATTTGAATGTAGATAGCCATCTTAACCGATGGGGCCTACCAAAGGAGGTAATCCTACATATTGCCTATCGAGATTTGAAACAAAATATGACTATAGTAAACACAAATTACAAATTAAAAGAGAAACACAAAAACCCTTATTTTTGACTGAGCCTCAATAAGAATGTAACTTTTCAAGTTAGTGATCTTATAGGAAAATATGATTTTTTTTTTTGCCACTTCACAAAACTAGGTCTGAAAAACCAATGCAATAAATTTAAACATTTAGTTTACTAACCTTGCTGTAAGATAAACTTGATCAACTTAACATTTCCACTAAGACAAGCACTCTGCAAAATAGTTGGCAGTCATTGACTTAAATACTCTGAACATTATCACAATTTTGTGTACATATCCAATAAAATTAATACAATTAGTCATATATATTTTTTTTAAATTATAGGTAAAATTCCAATGACTAATATTATACAAAAACACTATATAAAATTAACAAGTTTATATGATCTTTAAACTTACCAAAAGTAGGTTTAAGCCAGTTTCAGGTGAGGTTGAGTTAACTTCAAAATCCATTTTTTTCACCAAGTTGATAACAATGTCAGCATTATTTTCTTCATAAGATGTCTATATAATATTATCAAGAAAGGGACAGATATTTTATCCATACTACAGTATGCACTATTTCACAATCGCACTAATTATGCTCAGACATCTCTGAAAAAGGTTTGAACTTACTTTAGCCAAGTCAAAAATGGTCATGTCCGAATCATCCAAATCATGTTGCCTTGCTGTATTCACTCCACTCTTGTCTGAATCAAACAAATTCAAATTAACCAAAATTTGATATAAAAAATCCGTTTCAAAATTTTTGGAATTATGTTAACTATTTTGCACAGGCATGTCCACTAGTTATGCTTCATGATCTCTCGTCTTGATCAACAAAGCAAGAAATTTATTAAATTGTTTAGTTGGGGGGGGGGGGGTGGGGAAGTACACAATTTGGCAGAGACTTAAATAGTTATTGACTAGACTATATATATTTAATCACTATACTTATACCAAACATATCCACATCAGGAAGTTTTTCTCACCTGTGAAAAAACAGTAGGCAATTACTATGGATAGTGCGATGCCACCGCAGAAAGCTGAATAGGACAGAGGATCTTCAAGGGAAAGTTGAAGGAAAAAGTCTGAGAAATGAATGAAAAATACTCTACTAAAACAAAATACCTTTACATTTTAGTGCATCATAATTCTTTACCACAGACGTGGATCCAGCGGAGGAATAGAG